TTCTCATTCTGTTTTAAAAAATCTGTAATACCATCAAATATATTGAATTTCATGTATCTTTTCACAGAGTTAAGAATTGAAACAATTTCTTCGAGATTTTGGACACGAACGTTTGCCTTCCTTGTACAGATATATAATTCTTTGGAATTGAGAGTTGATGAAGATTGTTTAAGAAGAGTAACGTACTGATCAGCTGTCAAATGTGAATTTTTCATGATTATTTTGATATCCCTCATATCAAATGTATCGAAGAAGTTTTCATTATTAATATAATCGCTGATATGAGCAGCAATGTATTCGAAATTCAGATCCATGACCTAATTCGTTTTTGAAAAAAAAATCGTAACTTTACAAAAAATCTGAAAAAAAAATAATAGAATTGCTACTACGCTCTTTTTACATACATTTGACTTTTCTCCACAATTCGAAAATTTTTTCCACAATTCAAAAATTCTTGTCTATTCAAATTTGTGGGCTTTGAATTCCTCACAAAAATTGAATTCGTGCACACTAAATAAAAAATAGAGTGAATAAACAGTTCAAAATTGAGAGAAAACGATAATTTTTAAAATAATAACAAGATATGGTTAAAAGTAATAGATATAGAAGGGATCAAGCAATATAATAATAATTGCTGGCTGATAAGGATCAATTTTTTGAAATTTCATAATTTGAATTCAAAAATTCAATGTGTCTTGCGGTTTCAAAAGACACCTTCAAATTGAACGATAGCACAGACACTATTGAATTTTACCCATTCTATTGAGTTTTTACCCTTTTTATTTTTAAGAATTAATGACTGAAACAGCTGTTTTGCTATGACCTCAATCACTTTTATTTATTATTTTAAATATTATTTAATTTTATTATTTGAATAGGCCAACTTATATTTGAGAAGCTCAATTTGAGACCACTTAATACATTGAAATATCATAAATATTGAAATATTAAAAAGTGTATTTCAAAATATTGAAATTATAAAAATTTATAATACTGAAATTGAGACAAATTAATAAATTCAATGTGTTTTTTTTGAAATAACTCTCAAATATTATTTTTTTTTGTTTATTTAATGATGAATAAATATGATTGCTTTAGTCAATCATAAAAACTAATTTAAGTTTAAAATAATGAAAGGATAAATTGATCGTTTTTTAAAATACAATTATTTTTGATGATTTGCAAGAATCTTTGAAAAGAATATAATATAGGTTCTATTATTGTAAAATTTATCCAAATCATGTATTACATAAATTATGTTATAGACCGAAAATAGATTTTTTCGGTTTTCTCTTCAAATAATTGAAAGAATGATACTATTATAGGTTTATTATATTATATAGCATATAATCATGCTATAGCCGAAAATTATAAGTTTTGAGAAGATTGAATATAACACAAATAAATTTGAATGTAAGTTAAATTGCTTGTTGTTTTTAATAGCTATTCAATGAGAAATCCACTTTTGCAAAATTCAAATTGAATGATTGAAAGAACAGAAAAAGTCATTCTTTTCAATTTCGAATATGTTTCATTGTATTTATAATTATATGGCAAATAAGATATTTAAACTTGATTTTTGAAGGAAAATTCACAAAATTGAATGAATTCAAATAATTTTTATTCAAAAATAAACTAGTTATTTGAGTTTAATACTAATTATCTATTCAAACTACAAAGTTTGTAATTTAAAATATTTTGTGAGATCAGATTGAATTAATTCAAGGTTCTTTTCAATTAATATTAATGACCATATTACGCATTTTCGAACATTCTAAACCAAATATATAAAAATGGGAGACGAATGTTAAATTTGCTAGACATGGGGGAGTTGTCTGCAAAGTTTTAGCTCTTATCTCTAACAAAAAATTAATTTTTTAAAAAAAGACCGAATACGTTTCACAGCGAGAAAAAAATAAAAGGCAAGATAGAATTTTCTAGACATAAAGAAGTTGTTTACCGAGTTTTAGCTCTTATCTCTAACAAAAAATTAATTTTTAAAAAAAAAGACCGAATACGTTTCACAGCGGAGAAAAAAATAAAAGGCAAGATAGAATTTTCTAGACATAAAGAAGTTGTTTACCGAGTTTTAGCTCTTATCTCTAACAAAAAATTAATTTTTAAAAAAAAGACCGAATACGTTTCACAGCGAGAAAAAAATAAAAGGCAAGATAGAATTTTCTAGACATAAAGAAGTTGTTTACCGAGTTTTAGCTCTTATCTCTAACAAAAAATTAATTTTTAAAAAAAAGACCGAATACGTTTCACAGCGAGAAAAAAATAAAAGGCAAGATAGAATTTTCTAGACATAAAGAAGTTTTCTACCAAGTGTCAGCTGTTACTTCTTCTCAATACTGATATAAAATAAAAATCTTTATTATTTATTTAACCTTTATTGTTTCATTAAACTTCATTTATTTTATATTATAGTTTTATTCTTTTAGCTACTTGTAAAATAATCTAATTTTATATCATCATTTTACCGGATTATTCTTCAGTACATCGATTGTGTATCTAAAATAATATTATTATCCTTATTCTGTTTTTTCCAAAATTCTTTTAAATATCTTTTTTGGTTAGATTACTTTATACTTTTTACTTTTATTTTTTAATTTCAAAAAAAATTTGGTGATTGTTCTATTCTGTTACAATGTGCATTATCATATTCTAATGAATTATTCATTACATACATTTAAAAAAACTTGTTAAAAATGAAATTAAAAAATTATGTTTATTATTACGCTGTGAATGTGTCAACAGCGGTCATGCCTGTATCTGTATCCCATATTTGCCACAACCTTTCTGTATCTGCATTTGTGTATTTCGGTTTCAGCTGATACATTTGATTTGGCGTGTAATTTGTTCCAGTTAATGGATTAATTGGGAGATCTTCATGCGGTGTGTTATTATTGTACTCCCAAATAAAGGCAGGAATAGCCTGAATGCTTTGGCAGCGCTCCAATGTCGGCCAGAATCTCTCAATCTTCCCATTTTGGTAGGGAGAATGAGAGTCTGTATGCCGCCATTGGACGCCCCAAAGATCAAGTAGATCTTGAAAGGCGCCCCTATTTTCTGAACCGTTGTCGGTCCAGAAACAATAAGGGGCGCCAAATTCAATGAAGGCGGAAGCCGCAACGTTCGCTGTCGTCGCTGCCAGCATATCTGGTATTTGTATACACGCTAGGACTTTGCGGCTAAAATCGTCGATTATGCCATAAATATACTGGCCACGAACACCCCTAAAATAATGAACATCTGCGTGCCAGATAAGATTGGGTGAAAGCGCCCAATATCTTACTGCTGTTTCTGGCCCGGCATGCTCTAATCGCGTCTTGGTGAAATGATTTTCTTTGAAGTATCTGCGTACTTCTCTATAAGATACATCAATTTGTTGTAATTTCAAACGTTTCCATTGTTTTGTTTGACCACAGGGAAAGGCCCGGTGGTCATGTATCACAGCAAGAGCTTTGATTTGGTCGTAGGGATTGACCCTACGACCTTTCTTGCCTTTAGGCAATGGGATATTCTGTAAGCTAAATTGATTTTGTAAAAAAGATTTTGAAACATCTAAATATTTGAAATCATTTGATTGAAGGGTTGGGGCGATGGGAACATGGGTGCAAGCTTTTCCCATGTCATTTTACCTTCTTCAATCTGATTGGAAATACCAATTAGGTAAATTCGATCGACATACCCTTTGTAAGGATTCATTCTAATGAAGTACGTTAACAATCAAAATATTCTATAAGTGTCTAGTATGGAATTCAAAAGAATAAAGAAAATGGTAACGTAAATAAACGTATTATGAAATAATTTATAATTAAAATGAAAAAAAGAAAAAATAATAAGTAAAGTGACTGGAAATGAAAATGAAAATCAGTGTACAGTTTTATTTTTTTCTCGCTGTGAAACGTATTCGGTCTTTTTTTTAAAAAATTAATTTTTTGTTAGAGATAAGAGCTAAAACTCGGTAAACAACTTCTTTATGTCTAGAAAATTCTATCTTGCCTTTTATTTTTTTCTCGCTGTGAAACGTATTCGGTCTTTTTTTAAAAAATTAATTTTTTGTTAGAGATAAGAGCTAAAACTTTGCAGACAACTCCCCCATGTCTAGCAAATTTAACATTCGTCTCCCATTTTATATATTTGGTTTAGAATGTTCGAAAATGCGTAATATGGTCATTAATATTAATTGAAAAGAACCTTGAATTAATTCAATCTGATCTCACAAAATATTTTAAATTACAAACTTTGTAGTTTGAATAGATAATTAGTATTAAACTCAAATAACTAGTTTATTTTTGAATAAAAATTATTTGAATTCATTCAATTTTGTGAATTTTCCTTCAAAAATCAAGTTTAAATATCTTATTTGCCATATAATTATAAATACAATGAAACATATTCGAAATTGAAAAGAATGACTTTTTCTGTTCTTTCAATCATTCAATTTGAATTTTGCAAAAGTGGATTTCTCATTGAATAGCTATTAAAAACAACAAGCAATTTAACTTACATTCAAATTTATTTGTGTTATATTCAATCTTCTCAAAACTTATAATTTTCGGCTATAGCATGATTATATGCTATATAATATAATAAACCTATAATAGTATCATTCTTTCAATTATTTGAAGAGAAAACCGAAAAAATCTATTTTCGGTCTATAACAGTATTACATAAATTACGATTAAAACGATGAAAGAACCAAAAAGTGTGTTTTGTGTTTTGTTGTTGCGTGTTGGATGCGGGATCCTGTTATTTCCGAAATCGACAAAAAATTTGGAAATTTAATTTCCGAAATCGAAATTATATTAATGTTTTTAATATTCTTATATCAAAAGGATTAAAGTTCATTAAGAGAAAAACAATTCTTCTTCTTCAATCTATTGGCGCATTTATTTCTACACGCCAATAAGGAAGGAAAATTATAAGACACCATGGTGTCTTCAAAACGCTAATTTTTGATATTTTTAACAACCCTAAATTTTTTACACGTTATGAGTGTAGAGAGCAGCGCCGTCTTCGGCGAGGCCTCAGAGACTGCCGATGCCGCGCTTGAGATCCCTCGTTTAGACAAAATTCCAAACCCTCTTGCTCCAATAAGTCCTACTTTTTCTCCAGAGATTGAGGAATTTGATTCTGAATCATTCAATACATATTCAAAATTCACAAAAACAATACTTCCTAAATTTGACCTTGCAACTCTCGAAGAAGCACAACCAGTTGTGGATCATTTAATATCAAAATTAGAGAATCCAAAAATATCAACTACATATGTAGAACTTATGGTACATGCTTTTTTGCTTGCATGCTCCTATAAGCAAACAGAACTTATTTCAAATCCATCTCTCACAAGATTGTCATATTTGCATCATATTCTTTATTTATGCTCAGAAGCAGTTCATAATTGTTCAAAACTTCAAGTAGATCTATTCGAACATTGCAACATGATGATAGCTGATACAGAAGATCTTTATTACTCCAACTTTTGTGAAATTGTCGAACATAAATTCTGGGGTAAAACTAAATCTGTCAATGATTTAATCAATACAATGCTTAAAAAGCAGTTTGAGCAGCTCAGATTGCTAAACGAATACACTTTCAAACATTTGACAATTCTTTCAATGAGAAAGTCAATTGACAGCGCCCCAACACAGACTGGAAGTGAGCTCCTTAAGTGGGCGCATGCAAATAATATTCCTTATGAATAATTTTTATTTTATTTTGATATATTTTTCATGCAATAGCCATGATTTATTGTTTCTTACGATAAATGTTTTAATTACATTTAATAATTATAATATGGTCTTCCGACCATGAATTAATATTTTTCTCTCGAAAATAAATCTGAAATTTTGATCTAAGATGCAAATATAGACAGAGAAATTATCAACTCAGGTGTATTGTTCCTTACCATTATTCAATTTTCGTGCAAAATTGAATCAATTGTATAAATCGAATATTTGCATTATATATGAATTTTAAACTAAAAACACAATTGAAATTTCTGTCAGCACTAAGAACACAAGCTTGTTATAGAAGGAAATAGCTTGTTTATCGATTTATGGATCAAAATATAGTTGAATTCGTCTAATAATGAGACGATTCTTTCACATAAAGTATTCATTTATGCAAAAGATCACATCAATATAGAACTCGAAAACTCAAATTATCTATACTATGATTATTTTTGATTCAAATGCTGTTCGGCATTAGAAGCAAAAATAATCATAATCTAGATAATTCCAATTTTATATACTTTTTGGGCGCTAAAGCGCCCGTAAAAAAAGTATACAAAATTGTTAATTTGAAGAAGGCAGAAATTCAAATTGAATTTTAAGTTGTCACTTTTGATGTCTGATTCTGATGACCCAGTAGTATCTGAGATGGATCTCTTTTTGTCATCAGATATGTCAACAAAGAGTCTCATCATTCAGTTTCCACTTGTTAGTCGTAAAGAGGGCTGCCCAAATATCGAGCAAGTCTCATTTAACTCTAAAAACAAATCTTACAAGATTATGGTTGCTCCACCACAAGATATTTATACAGGTATGGATCTAAAATCACATTACCTTCAAACAAATAAAATTTATTCACCACACACCATTGTTCGGCGTTAGGCGTTATTCGCGACGGGCAAGTCCATTTGACGCCAATTACTTCTATTTATCAAGCAAGACCATCTGATTTATTCGAAGAAGAAACAACAACGGCGAAAGACCAAGAACCAGATTCCAAAGCAATAGACTTTACAGAAGGAACCGATATTACCAAATTTACATCTAAAGCAGCGACAGATGTCTCCTCGCAGATGAGTGCCCTCACATATAAAGATAATTTGACTGGAATGAGGTGTGACTTCTCCGCTGACCTTATTGAGCAGATTAGTGAGAATACCCTTTCATCCAGACCACCACGCGAGCAATTATATTACGTCCTTTATAAGAATAGAACAATTTTCTTTGATGATGTTGTTCAGAGCCTTATATTGACGGCATACTCCGAGGAACTGCTTGATGTCCTGTTTAAGTACGCATATTACGTTCAAAGTCGCTGGGTTATTAAATCTGAAGAAATCAGGTCTACAGAGCTTCCTGTCAACTTACGTGCTGCAAGAAACTTTGCAATTGTCATCTTTTCATATAAGAAATACTTGACTCCAGCATTAATCAAGAAATTCCTAGCATTATTCAGTATTCAAAGCTCAGACCTCAAAACAATCTTCGACCGTCTTGCTACAAACACAAAGGACAAAGTTACAAACGAAAACAGAGTTGTTTTCAAGTATACAGAAAAACCCGAATTTGAGCAGCGCCATAAAGAGGCTCACAAGAAAGGACTTAGGGAAATTGAAAGACTGAAGGAATCCCTCTGCCTTATGAAACAAAATCCAAATCTTTTCGATGATTTTCTTGCTTAAAAATTTTCTATATAGATTTTATATATAATTAAAATTATCATCGATTTTTTGTTAATTCGGCTTTGTTATGCTTAGTTCTTTCGAGATGATAATTTTAAATTTTTGGGCAAAATTGAATTGAGCATTAAATTAGAATTATCATAAATCATATACATATACTATGTTTTGTTTTTTAACTAAAATTACAAACGAAAAAACTTTGCAGGTAATCATGTTTTTAGAGCTGGTTCAATGACTCATGATTTTCCAGTTCTTGATTGAGCATATAGGCGAATCTATTGCTTTTGATTTGCATTTGTTAATGTTTGAGACGTTTTATCGCCTCAAAAATATGAACAAAAAAAGTTGGTGCAACTACACTCAAATACTAAATATTATCTTATCTTAGATTTATCAATACATCCAGCATCTGAGATCTTATATAACATGCTATATATAATGAAATAATATATGCCTTTGCTGAAAAATACTGAAGTTCGAGGAGATAATGAAAGAATTATGAATCTAGAAGCAGACTTCACTGATAATTTATAACTTATTAATAATGAGAATATATGGCGAAATATGAATCACAAATATTATTAGGTCTGTTTCTTTGAAGAATCATACATAAATCGATGTCCCAATGAATTTTTAAACGTCCACTTTTTTTATTCTAAAAAAAAATAAAAAAATAAATGAACAACGAAAGGGCTCAGCTCCTTGATTCACTCCACGAACTTTCAAATATTCTTGAAACAGGACTTGACCGCGAAACATTATCCATTTTGCTTGAACTTACAGAAGCTGGAGTTAATCCAGAAGCTTTGGCAGCTTTAGTTAAAGAACTTCGAAAGCAAAGGGAAGAGAATGATGAACAAACTCCAACATTTTTTAGTTAACTACAATCAATCATGTTTTTTTTTTATCAATTATCAACATTTATTAGGAAAAAAAAAGAAAGAAACGATTTTATACTTTTTGTTTGTTACAATCAATTTGTTCGTAAATAAAAATGTTACTATTATTTAAAAGAAAAACAAATTAAATATTTTTATAAGCTAACAATCTTATTAACAACATCTCCATGGTCACCTCTATCACATATAATAGTCGTTACGTGGCATACGTAATCTTCATCGAAGCAAACTCCTACACCAATGTCATCTACTTGATTTAGAAGAACAGAAACACAATCTGTGTTATTTCTCCACTTCCTCATAATTTCTTTTGGAGCTCTAAGCATTTCTTTGCAAGTAGTATGGCTGATATCGCATAATTTATAACGTGGTTCAACAACATTTTTGTAAAAGTCGTCTTCGATTGGATTAATACCTTCCTGACCATTTGCAATAAATTCTGCATGATCCTGAGCAACTTTAAACAGGTTGTCATCAAATGACAGCTTTTCTAAAGAATGCTGTTCTCTAAATTCGTTCATTTCTTCAGCAATATGCTTTGCTAGTATGGAATGATCCACTAAGTTCTCTGATCCATCAATAATTGACGCGTAAATGCTTCTTGTAACGATACGAACTGAAAAATAACAATTTTTCTTAATAACAAACCCAATACCGATTCTGTTGAATTCTCCCAACAATGCATCGACATGGTATGTCTGCTGCATCCATTCTGAAACAATCGTCTTGGGATTTGCTTTTTCGAACTCAAATTTACCGAAGTCGACGTGGCTCGAAGAAGCGCTCGGTATACGTGTAGAAATGAATTTCTGGGTAATTTTTGTTGGATCTGTCTGACTGAATTTATATGCTAACGTTGCTAATTGATCGCTCCATAAATAAGGCGGTAAATCGTATTTTTCGCGTATATTGTTGACAATTTCGAGACAGTTTTGGCCCAACAAGAAACTCCTTAGCTCATCGCCAACAAGATGGGAATCTCCAATATAAGATTTGACAGCAACGATAACTGTAAAGAAAGTGGTTTTTTGTGCTGTTGATGCCATACCACATCCAATTGTATTGACTTTGGACAGAAGAGCTGCGGAGATTCCTGGCTCAGATGCCCATTCGTTAGTAACGTCTAAAAATGCGTGATTTGGTGAATCACTTCGAGATACATATGCGTAATAAAATGGAAATGGGAGATCGCTGATTTCTTCTTTAATTGGAGCATTAGTAAATTTTACCTCCATTTTCGCCATTGCGAGAGAGTGTTTCATCGCAATTCGATTTAGATCAATTGATTCTACAATAGGAGGAAGTTTATGAGAAGCTCTGAACAAATTAACGGCCCTTATTAAAGTAGCGTAAATAGAAGAGTATTGGAATCGTAAAACAGGCGGAGGATTATCGAAATCATATTTTGCATCAATAAAACTTCCTTCATTTTCATCCGAATCGCTAATAGAAACTTCATCATCATATTCATCTTCTTCCTCTCCAGATCCATCCTCTTCTTCACCATTGGTCTCTTTCTTTGCCTCTTTTGGAGATTCAACTATTTTTCCGTCTCCAGAGCTCTTTTTCGCTTTTGGTGTCAAATCATCAAGCTTCAACTCCTTATCACTATCAGATGAGTCGTTCCCCTTCATATCTGCGGAATCTTCGACTGAGTCCTCAATATTTTGATCTGAGCTATCTGACATTCTATTTTAAATTTAGATTACACCGATGAAAATCTTTTGAAAAGTTAAAAAAACGTGTTTTTTATACTTCAGTAATTTTGATTCTTTTTATATGCTGACCTGGAGAATTTATATATATACCAAAAGAAAATGTAGATTTGATAAGCATTGAGCTACATGAGTCAACAAAAAGTTATGAAAACTCACATTTTAGATCACAATAATTTGGTTGGCATTTGTAAACTCCTCGCAATTGGTTGATGTGAGAGCAAAATTCAGAGAATGGATGGCTTGAGTATGAATGATTTTCTCGATTTTGGAAATTTCTTAAAAATTGTCTAAATCGGCAACCATACTTAAGTAGTCAAAAAATTTAAAGTATCCACTTCCTTAAAACTGGAGCTTACTGTGACCTTATCGATAAAATAAAAATTTTATATATATTCTTATGGAAAATAGACTTTTTATTTTTTGAAAAATAGCATTATGCATTTAAGAAATGAAAAATATTGATTTGTTTCAGCTTAATCTTAATTATTAAATGTTAATATCCAATATAGTATTTCAAAGCTACAGTATCTGATATTGCCCCAATTATTTCCATCCAATATCACTCCGAATCACATCACGGATTTTTCAAATTGTGGAAAAAAATTGAATTGTGAAAAAAATTGAATTGAATTGTGGAAAAAAATTGAATTGTGTATATAATGAGTGTAGTAGCAATTGCTAGTTTTTTATTTTTTTTTAAATAGTCAAAAATTTTAATGTCTTCGGACGTATTAAATCTTTGTTTGAGAATGGTAACTATAAACAAGTAAACTCTTTAGGTTTACCACTCATTCGTGCATCACAAAAAGGTTATCTTGAAAATCCCCTTACTAAAGCATGCGAAGAAAGAAATCTCGAACGTATTAAATCTATTATAGAGAACGGTAACTATAATGTAGAATCTTTGGGCTTACCACTCATTTTTTCATCAGAATATGGTCATCTTGAAGTTGTTGAATATCTTATCTCAATTGGAGCCGATAAAGAAGCAAAGGATAATTTTTGTGGATGTACTCCACTCATTTGGGCAACAGAAAATGGTCATCTTGAAGTTGTTAAATATCTTATCTCAGTTGGAGCCGATAAAGAAGCAAAGAATAAAAGGAATGTACTCCACTCATTTATGCATCAATGGATGGTCATCTTGAAGTTGTTAAATATCTTATCTCAGTTGGAGCCGATAAAGAAGCAAAGAATAAAAATGGTAAGACTGCTCTTGATGTTGCATGGCGCTTTGTGAAAGAATACTTTTTGGAAGACAAAACAGAATAGAGAATAATTATAGATAATGATAAAATATTAAAAAATAATATCCTTACTTATAAAACATAGCATCACTTAGAAACAAAAATTTAAACCTTCAAAATAATGTATTTTTTTTAAGAACAAACAGCATCACCATCTGAGGATTCACTTTTAATCATGCTTGCTTATTTATAAAGTATTACATAGCTTAAAAATCATATAATTATGAAATGCATTCATATTTTTCATGTAAAATTCATTAGCTCAAATAACTCCACCTATATAACCAAAAATTCATAAGCGTGTTAGAAATCTCTAATATATCAAAAGTAGATGATGATGTTTAACTAAATTAACTTGATAAATTTATACATTATGTCCTGTATAATACGTCAACATCAACTATTCTCTAAATATCTATACGACATCAATAAATGCACCAATATAACACCAAACTTTCAATGAAATAAAAATGCAAGAGATGACACCATGTTTTCTTATTTATACCTTACCCTCACAAAATACAGTGTACTTTTAAGTATCAAAAACATATAGTAGTACAAAGATGAGAAATATATCTTCACATAACATAGTTAAAAAATAAGCCATATTTTACTTACTAACCTGCTTTCAAAATAAGGGGGTCATGAAAAAGTTGCAAAAGTCAAAAATTGAGGGTAATTTGGCATAATTTTGATTTTATGAATAAATATTATTTTATTCAACCATAATACGAAAAATTCGTGAAATTCTTATAAATACATTAAAATGCAATATTTTCATCATCAAATGTAACATTCTTATTTTCAGAAAGTAAAATCTTCAATTCATCTCTAGTGATAACAACACCCTTCTGAAGCTCAACAGTTTCAATGAACTGGTCCAATGTAACGAATACTTTATCTGTCTGATTGATGTAATATTTATAAACTTCCTGGAATGCCTTTCTCTTTTCATCCAATTCATCACCAACATATGATTCAACTAACTTAGGAAGTTCGTCTTCCTTTACTTGTTCTCCTTCTTTTTCTTCTGCATCAGATTCTGAAGCAGCGCTTTGTTCTTCAGAACTATTTTCAAGTTCTTCATCTGTTTCTACAGCTTCTGGTTCTGATGAATCATCATTATCATCATCCTTCTTTGTCTTCTTTGTCTTCTTACTCTTCTTCTTCTTGTCGTCGTTACTGATCAACTTCTTTGTTCTTGGCTTAGGTGGTTCTTCATCTTCGCCGTAGACAGAGAACTTGAGAAGAGAAATGGCTGTATTGGCATCTTGTTCTGTGATTGTTGATGATAATCTGATCTTTGCAGCAGCTGTTGAAAGTCTGATGAGTGTTTCGAATGTACGTGGTGTAATTGGCTGTGTCTTTCTTGTCATAACAGCTCTCATGTCTGCCCAAGCTGAGACAAGCAATTCGTTAGCTTCCTTAGTTAATGTTGGTTTGATATCTTTGCAATGTGTAATGTATTTCTTAAGGAATTCGACAGTTACGTAGTTCTGTTGTTCGCCTTGTGAAACATGTGGAATTGCATCGCTCTTGAGGTAAATGCCATCATCGGAATATGTTGTTGATGGACCATTTGACTTCCATTTATGGTTCTCAAGAACGTGGTCAGCAATTGCAGCATCAACTTGTGGATTGTGTTGATCCAAAACGATGAACAATAAATCGAAACGTGAGATAAGTGAATCTGGTAATCCGACATTATCCATTGGAGATCTATTTGGATTGTATGTGCCCCAAACTGGGTTAGCAGCTGCAGCAACAGAGCATCTTGCATTAAGTGTTGCGTGGATGCCTGCTTTGCTGATTGTAACTGTCTGTTGTTCAAGGGCTTCGTGAATTGCAACTCTATCAGCTTCATCCATTTTATCGAATTCATCGATGCAAACAACACCTCTGTCTGCGATAACCATTGCACCAGCTTCTAATCTTCTTTCACCTGTCTCTGTATCTGTTGTAACACTTGCTGTTAAACCAACACCTGATGCACCACGACCTGTTGTATGGACGGCCAAAGGAGCAATGTTTAAAACGTGTCTTAATAATTGTGACTTTGCTGTTGATGGATCGCCGACCATAAGCATGTTGATATCACCTCTGATGTGTGTGCCATCAGGAAGGTTTGTTTCGCAGCCACCTGCAAGCATGAGAACAATGGCTTCTTTGATACGACTGCTTCCATAAATGGAAGGAGCGATACTGCGGCTAAGCAAATCGAGAACATGGGTATTTTCTTCAACATCAAGTTGGTTGTTCTCTTTGTATCCAGCAATGAAGCGGATATTTTCGACATCTGATTTTGTAAGATTTAATTGAAGTGTTTGAGCAGCTACTTCAATTGAATTTGCAATAAGAAGTGGATGATAGATACCACTTGCAGTACCTTGAACTTTATTTGGCAAAATTCTGTAAACACCGTAAACTTTAACTCTGTCGCCTGGTTTGCAAGCATCAGCAAGATCTGCGTCTGCTATAACATCACAGTTACGTGGCATTTGGCCGGCTGGTGCTGATTCTGGACGCTCTTGGATTGTAATGATTTGATGATCAATGAATGTAGAAAATCCGTATTCTACTTCAAGAGGATTGTCGTTAGCATCCTTGTTAGGGATTGCAAAGCGTGATGGACGCGCTGTAAGATCAGTTGCATCGTGAAATTGTGTTCTTAATCTCTGGTTTGTTGCTGGGCAAAACTGGACAAGTGTAACGAGTTTTGGATTGACAAGTGATGTTTTGGTAACAATGCCATCAAGGCACACAATGTGATTTAAGAATCTTGTATTAAGTTGTCTTGGTGAAACAAAATGATCACCAATTGGGCCAGTAATACCGAATGTAAGATCCTGTTCACCTTTAGCGTTAACTTCTTTTCTATATTCGTTAAGTGCTTCATTAATTGCTTGTTGAAAGAGCTTCGGATTTTTGATTAATTCTTGTGTAATATTATGACCATTGAGCCTATCAAACTCACGAAGATGATCTAAGTTAATTAAAATACGTTTTTTGTTTTCATTAACTGCGTTATCAACAGCTTCTCTATAATACTTTTCTTCATGGCCTGAAAAATCAGAATCAAAGAACTGGGAAAACATGTTTCGATACATAGCTACTGTTGCAGCTGGTACCTCCCATACGTTTGTTGCTTGAGAGTCTTCCATATTCTGTGAAATTTTAGAAATTCTAAACGCTCACCAAAATTCTAACTATACCATTCTTAAGAGGTATATTGTTATTTTATACACTGCATGATATTTTCCCAATTGTTTTTGTTCAGATATCACGAATGTAGAATCTGATTATTAATTTCTAGACAATTATTCAATATGGATGTTATTCTTTGATTTACAAGCTAATTTTTAGTTGATGGTTCAAAAAAATAGTCCATAATTTCAAATATATATGGCAAATTTATTCAGAATGAATTTGTATATATGAAGAACTGGCTACTTTGTATAGATTTAATGGAATTCATTTTTGCAGCACATCAATGTGTTCCGGTGAAGAATATCACAAATATTTATGAAGATTTTATGAAATCGAACTGATATCTATATAAATAAATGATAAGAAAGGTTGCATATGCATAAATAAATCTATGGCTGTTCATATATATGTTGCTTAATCATATTTCTAAGAATATAAGATCTAATTTTCAAAATGATCGGAATAGCATAAGATGTCTATTGAAATAATCGAGTTAATACCAATAGAGATAAAATTTCAAAATGTCTTTTTTGGTGGATTCAAAGACATCTAAATCGATCGTAATTAATTATTTATAAAATTCTTTTATCTACTGAGTATCTTCAATCATAGCTGTTGTATATGATATATACCATATATGCGGCCTTATTTGAAAAAAATTACATGAATCAATCAAAATAAAAGTAATTATGATAGTTTGTTCAATGTGATTAGAATTTAAAGTGCATGATATTTTGTTTAGTATATGATTCAGCAAATAAACAATGTTTTATTGGTAATATCGACAAGAAATTTCTGTGAAAATTGGCTTTCATAGAACAATATGTTATGATATGTCTATTTTATGTTGTTTCTTATTCATCTTATATCTCTTTACCTAAAAATTTTTGAAATCATAATCACTGATAATTATGATAAAACCGATGGAATATAATTCAATTTGAAAACGTGACATAGATTTATCAATGTCAATGGACGCTCAGGAGAGATATGCCCGCATCCAGGCAAAGGAAGAGGAGCTTAAACGTCGTGAGGCCGGCCTTAGAGAGCAGCAACTCGATATTGAAGATGACAGAAAGCCAAATTGGCCTGTCTGCTGCCCATTTGTTTATCACGATATTTCCGGAGAAATCCCAATTAAGAATACAGCTGCTTGCAAGGTTGCCTACATTTTACAATACGTCTGGGCTTTAACTCTCATCGTCAATATGCTTGCTGCCTTCGGCTCTGGCTCAATGGCTAATTATAGTGTTGCAAAGTACATCGTATTCAGCATCATCTACACAATTCTTGGTATTCCACTCGCTTTCAGAGTCAATTACATGAAATACTACGAACAGTGCAAGAAGGAAGACCTTTCTCTCAGCTGGTTCCTCCTTGAAATTATATTCTTTGGTCTTAACGTTGTTGGCGCTGTTGGTCTTCCAAACTCTGGCCTTTGCGGCGTTCTTTACGCTATTGATGCTTTTTCAAAGGGTAATGGCTATATAAAAATTTTTGGTATCATTTCCGCCTGCGCTTGGATCTTATCCTCACTCGGCCAGGGCTTCCTCGGCTCAAGATCCTTCCTTTTGTATAAGAATCAAGGAAAGGATTAAATTACCAATTCAATTCTCTTTGATTCTTAATTGCATTCTTTTTTCTAAAGACCACTTTTATTTAATTTTTTCTAATCTTTATTTCTTATTTGCCACAAAAAAAATTCAATTAAAAAGAATTTTAACTAATTATTCATAACATGTAAAAACAAATATTAATATTTATTGATCAGTTACGATCCATATCATAAGAGTAATAAAAATAATTCAAATTTTCTCAACAACCTGAAAACATCGTGTTGAGATTAGTGCTTTCTGGGTTAAAACAAAGGGATATATTCTATGAAATCCCAAAAACAAAACAAAAATTAAAACAAATCAAATTTCTGTTTGATTAACATAACAATACTATGTGTAACACTTATATGTTCAGCATCAAATTGCATTCCATCTATAGATCTCTCCTGTTTTCCTGTAACACCGTCATAAGAACCGGCTTCAAGCATTTCATCAAGAAGTTGGCTTTGTTGGTCGCATAATTCAATGAACATCTTTGCTGTTTCTTTATCTTCAGACAAAGCAATAAGTGCCGCAGCTAAAGCGAGACTTCCCCAATGTGAGCAGCCAGACATGATTAATGTGTCACATAATGTGCATGCAACGTCAGCACCTCTGGCAATGCATTCAAGATTGCCGGCGCCGCATTCCTGTAATCTATCGCAGATACTTATAACTTTGTAAGGATATTTAATTTCTGGGTCTAAAGATGATTTAAGGAGTTTGTCAAGCTTGATAACAGAGTTGTTGATTACTTCTCCTTGTGGTGATAGGTAATCTAATGATTTTTTGCATTTTGAAGGCCTTCCAACTGTTACAAGGAATGACATATCTTTTGATATCTTTTCAACGTCATCAAAAACGTATACTGGAGCATTTTTAACGGCACTAATTACAACTAATGCTGCATAAGAATCTGTTAAAACATTTGTGTTAAATCCAAGACTGCGTAATGTTCTGCAAAGTATTCCTGCTCCAATAGGACCATCTGTTTCACAATTTCCATTAAAATAGCATGAACCTGTTAAGATGAACGATGGTTTCTTTTTGTCACATTCAAGTAACATGTGTGCCGCTTCACCAATACTTCCATTCATCCATTCTTTAGAAGCTAAAACATTTTGTGGGTCTACAAAAACAATTGATTCGAGATTTTCGAGGATTTCTTGATTATCCATTATGTCAAAAATTTTGTGAATTATTATTCAAAAAATCGAAATATAGATTAGCTACAAAATACTGTACACATTTTTCTATGATATTAATCAAAATTAGCAGTAACATCAGATGGGAAAGTTCATTGTGTTTGGTTCGTAATCACAGTGTTGTTGATTAGTTTGTGCATTGTAGAACCATTTTGCATCATATGCTTGAGTTAAAATGACTATTAACATAAATTCACATGAGATAAGCATGAAATTTTGTATTATAGGAATTCTATCATTGAAATAATGCAATATTTGTGTGTTAGAATTAAGGCGCATGATAATGGACTTTATAATCGATACTCACAAATAAAAATGAATTGCCGATCATATTTTGAATAATTTATCCGTTATTTATCAAATGCAACAGTCTCCAACACTTAAAGGAAATTGGTACGAAGAACGCTATTACGATGCTGATACAAGAAAGAACATCCTTGAGCCACGTGTACGTCCGAAGAATGATGAAGTTGAAAACATTCCAAGAATCACTCGCCAAAATAAACCTGATGCTGATGTATATTCTTACGATGCTGATACATCAGATCGTTGGGTAACAGATAAGATGGCCTCATATGTAGTCCATCGCGAACATGAAATGACACTTACAGAGCGCCGCATGAATGCAAGCCCAGAGTATATGGCTAAAATTCTCAGCTGCGAATCACCGAAATATTTACCAAATTATAGTCTTAAGCCAATCACTCCAGAAGAACAATTCACAACAACAAACATGGAAGCTTTCAAGCGCTTTAATTAAGTTTCCCTGATCATCTTTCTATGAATAATCATAAATTTGTCTAATTTTACTTCTCAAAGAAAAATTAATTTTTAATTCCCATAAAAATAGAAGCATTGTTTTAATTTTTCTATGTTTGGGGATGTTTACGCATACAACGCATCCATAAGTCTAAAACTTTTTAAGAAATTTATGAACTCAATTTTGAAAATCTTATGAAGGAGAAAGAATTAGATCCGTCATATGATTTTGCTATTAATGGTACCTATAATAATGTACTTGTAGTTTATAGATAGATATAAATCGATTTTTTGATATATCGTTATGACCATTTCTTAAGAACATAATGAAACCATAGAGTATCATAGCTTCATGCGATAAGTATATGTTCTCTGAATATGACTATATACCTGACCATCTAGATTATTTGCTATTTTGCTTCTTCTTTTGTGGCAATTGGAGATTTGTAACAGTATGTATTAGAGTCTTTTGTAATTTTGTTAACTAAAATGTATTTGAAGGAAAAATTAATTATTGATAAATATCCAAATAAATGAATGACATTTTTATTTTATAGGCAATTAAATATATATATCTATAATGTAAATAGACAGCTTAACCGATGACACCAAGGATTGGGTCAATAAGATTACCAGTAGCGGAGATATGGATTTGATCCTTATGAGGAACAGCTGTGATGATTTTTACACGGATGACTGTCTTGGATCCAAGAGTCTTTCCTCCATTCTTTTGTTTGTATGTAAGGGTTTCTGGTTCAAAATCATAATCCTTTTCTAGGAGGGTCTTTGGAACAGCGACCGTTAACGGTCCTGCATTAGCCATGATCGCAAATTCATTGAGGATCATAATTTTAGCGTCGATAACTAAATCTTCGTAAGGTCTGAGAACAAGAGCTTTAAATTTAACGCTGTATGAGGCACAGCCAGTTCTTGATGAAACGCGGCCTTTTCCAATTTCAATAATCTTTGTAATTTTCAAAATAAGGCCTTTGCCAAGCATAAACTGGCCTTCTTTCTGATGTTTCAACTGCTTTTCAATTGTCTGGCTTGTTCCTTGTGAAAGGAATATTGGTAGAAGTTTAAGCTGATGCTCTAATTCTACCTCGAAAAACATTGTCAAAGCCGCCCATTTAAAATTTGACATATAACAAATATGAGTTTACGTGTCAAAAATAATTACTCGAAATCAAAATATTCCAATAAGTAGTAAGTCCATATATAGTTAAAAATAAAAAATCCATAAAAGATCAAATTTTGGATATTATAATTTAATTTGCTCATAAAAAAAGCATTATTAGAATGATTTAATAAAATACATTACAAGCAGGCTTTATTTTAATAAGTTTCAACTTCCTAATTTGTTGTTTCTGTTAAATATGATAATTTCTGAAAATAAAAATGATGAACGAAGCAAAGTATGTAATAACAGATTGACAGACTCGTCGTAATTGGTTTCTGGATTACAATGTGTCGATTTTAATATGAATTCGAAAAAAATGATCGAATAAAGTAAATATTGTGTTTTTGATTGAATATATTCATGTAATACGTAAATCATTCATGTACTTGTAATTAAATATGAACAAATTAAGTAAATAATTGTTCAATTGTTATATTTCGATATCATCCCAATTAACACATTGAACTTTCTTTATCTTCAACTCTATTGATGAATCATTGATAACAAAAAAGCTTTGGCTAGTATTAATTTCTCTTGGCAAATTCAAATGAACAGAAATTGGTCTTTGCTTTTTAACGTAGACTTCAACTGATGTAGGATTAAATGTGACTGTTAATTCTTCTTCTTTTACATCTTTGATAAAAAGACGAATTGCAAGAAGTTGATTTGTTTGATAAAATTCTTTTTTGACATCTGAAATGATGTCAGGTTGGAATAAAAAGATGTTTGGAGCATTTGGAGAATTTTCTATTGAAATGTGTGCTTTAACACGCGTAAGCCATTGTTTTGTTTCCGGAGTAGATCCCATTTTGTCGGCTGTTTCAAATGCAATTAAAGCAGTATCCCATTCTTGAAGACTATATAAGCACTGTCCCTTTAAAATTAAAATTTCAGGCAAAATCCATCCATTTTCTTCTGCTTTTTTCAAGCATTCTAGCGCATTTGCAGGGTTTCCGAGCTTAAAATAGCAATATGCTTGTTTTCTAATTAATAAAGGAGTCATTATACGTCGAGATGATCTAATTAGCCTAAGTGCATCATCATATCTTTCAGTATCTACTAATTCTATGACGGATGTTTCTAGAACAAATTCAGATGATGGAAAACTAACCTCATCCATAAAAAACAGATAAAAAAATGAAAATTTGACAAATTTCATAAGAATATAATTAATGTCTTGTCTTTTAAGTTCGCATTACGTCAGTAGGTAGAATTTATATTTTCACTATCATTAACTATCAGGAGATGAACTCCAAAAATAACCATTTCTAAAAAATTACGATCCAAGGTGTAGAATGATTGAGAAAATTTGCAGTTGAACAAAAATGTATCATTTGCAATGATTTAAAAATTCACAAAAAATAATTATTGGTGCTTTTTGGAAGAATTTTATTAATTTATAAACTTTATTTTCCAATTTTTAATTTTTTTTTGATCCTCGGCGACTTCATTATGCTATATTTAGAGCGTTCCAATGCTAAATTTAGCTTTTTATAAAACTTGCCTTTGGCTCTTATGAATTTAGAATTAGAATGAAACTCTTTTTACATCCCAAATGAAAAACAAATGATTACATGCAATTTGCTTCAAAATTTTAATTTATCATAGTTAGAAGTAGAATATTTAATATCAAAATGATTCCAAATTACTCAAATGAACTATACAACAATCAAATAATATATTTTCTTCCGAACGTTGAACATAATATATTGAAATCATAACTTAATTCCACTGTTTACTGAAAATTTCATTTATGAAAACCAAAAATGAGATAGTTTTGCCTTGTATAAGAAAGCCAATAACTACTTTTCTTGTTGTAAGTACAGAAATTGTATGAAATCACAAAGTTTTTATATATTCATTAAGCATTTCAATTGAGAACTTTTAATGATGGGTTTAGTCAATGATTGCTGAACGATAAAACATATCTTATTGAAAATAACTAATCAGCTAACATGTATTATCGATTCTGAGGAATTTGATTGATTTCAATTAACAAATTTGAGAAATTATCAATTTAGTAATGCAATTTTTTCCAGATATCATGATAGATAATATACAAGTCTTTTTGGTGTGGTCTCTCTCAAAAATTGGCATTTCAGAAATTTATTACTGAAATTTACAATTTAAGCTTGAAAATATGATCTTTTCATCTAATCTATAATCAATATATTTGCAAAATTATCCTTCAAAAATTTTGTCAGTCATTGACTAAAATTTCATTGTTCATCGTCTCAGGTAGGATTGCTTATTATTGTAATAAACAGAAATTCATCAAAAGTGACAGCTCTCATTTTTTTGACATTTGTAAATTCTAAATTGAATGAGAAAAATGAAATAATACTAAGCATAATACAATATTCTAGATTTAATTATAATTAGGAAAAAGTTAGTTTTGAGAGTACTTTTCATAGGCATATAGAAATCTTCTGAAAAATAATATCACATAAACTCATATTATTTTCTAATATATAACTATTTTATATAAAAATCAAATTCAATGATCTTAAAAGCGAAGGATAAACCTCAAAATTTACGAATATAATGAGTGGGAATATAATGCTTATCTATCATAAAACCATATGAAATATCAATTTTTGCTTTACGCCTAATTTTTGACGACAATTAGCAAAAATGTTAAATGTTAACACTCAGTCCATTTGAATATGAAAAATAAAATTGACTTTGATTAAATGTTTTTATTTATCATGCAATTCTTCTTGCGACCAAAGATTTGAATAAAAGTTCAAAAAATAAGATAGCTTAAAAAATAATATACGGTAGTGTTTACTAATAGATGAATAGTATATAAATTCTATTAAAATGGATTTGATCCAAAAAATATAAAACCAAAAATAATTGTTATAATTTAAATGAAGAAGTAATTTAAAACGATTTTATTTATGATCAAATTTTATATATTTTTTGGATCAAATCCATTTTAATAGAATTTATATACTATTCATCTATTAGTAAACACTACCGTACATTATTTTTTAAGCTATCTTATTTTTTGAACTTTTATTCAAATCTTTGGTCGCAAGAAGAATTGCATGATAAATAAAAACATTTAATCAAAGTCAATTTTATTTTTCATATTCAAATGGACTGAGTGTTAACATTTAACATTTTTTGCTAATTGTCGTCAAAAATTAGGCGTAAAGCAAAAATTGATATTTCATATGGTTTTATGATAGATAAGCATTATATTCCCACTCATTATATTCGTAAATTTTGAGGTTTATCCTTCGCTTTTAAGATCATTGAATTTGATTTTTATATAAAATAGTTATATATTAGAAAATAATATGAGTTTATGTGATATTATTTTTCAGAAGATTTTGTGTTCTTCTTCAAAATTTTATTTTTTATTAAAAAGAATCTTTACAAAATATACATTTACTTTAATTAATATTTAAAAACGTGCTCTATCAAAAGTTCCAAAAATTCAATATTTTAGCTTTTCTGAGGTGTCACTTTTGATGAATTTCTGTTTACAACATTATTAGCGAAGAAATAGGTATTACCCCCCTGTGATTAATTGAGTAGAAATTCAGCGGTTAATTGTAGGTTTCTTTCAAACACTCAGAATTTAGTATTTGATATGAGAGCTCTCACAAAATTTGTTTCTGAATTCTTACTTTACTAATTTTAATTAGAGCGTATAGAAATTCTAGGAATGAACCCCATCCAACTTCTTCCTGCTGTACGACCTATTATTTCAACTTCTTTATCTAAAAATGGAAAACAATCCAAATGCAAATTCACTCGCGAAGACGATTTAAAGCTTATATCATTAGTTATGAGCCGTCCAGAAAGAGACTGGGTCTGGATTTCACAGCAAATGGCTAACAGAAACCCCAGACAATGTAGAGAAAGATGGTACAATTACTTAGATCCTTCATTACAAAAGGGCGGATGGACACCAGAAGAAGACCAGTTACTTATAGAGAAAAAGAAAGAAATGGGTCCTCACTGGAACGCTATAGCGCGATTCTTTGCTGGTAGATCCGGTAACTCCGTTCGAAATCGTTGGTTATTGATTATGCGTCATGAAGAGAAAAATAATACAGATGTTCCTGAACCTGTAGAGGTTAAGATACCTCCTATTATTCCGGCTGGCATAGAAGTAGAAACTGAAGTTTTGCACCCTCAAACGAATATTTCTTTAGATGAAAAGCTTGACTCAATTCTCATGCCTCGAGAAGATGTCAATATGTTTAATACTTCTGTTGATGACTTTGATTTCTTGCTCAATTTTGAACTTCATTAGATCTATTTTGTTTTTTTATTTCTTTCTAGTATGTAAATGCTTTGTTGTTATTTATAAATATCCTTAGACATCATATCAAAAGCGCGCTCCAGATTCTCTTTATGTCTTTATTTCTATTGCATTCATTTAATCCGAATTTTATGAATAAATATCATGTGATTCAATTCTCTATATAGGTATCTTCAATATGTCAATATTATCTTAATCTTAAATTTGATCATTTCAGGTGGATTAGGAAATCTATAACTTCAAATACATGACTTCGAACAATTAAGTATAAGAATGAGAAGCCACTATCCAAAAAAGTAGTTCTCGTAGATCGGACATCAGAAATCCCACATAATCTGTAGGCAAATTTATTATTGTTGATTTTCTATGAGGTTTTGACGACCCAAATCCGAATCAAGTAATAAAGATCTTATGGATAGGAGTTAATGAGCTTTGCAATATCTATCGGCTATTAATATATGGAGTCTTAATTAATAATTAGATGTATCAAACAATCAGTTATACACATCAACTATCCTCATTCTCCTTATCTTTTATTATGTAAAAGTTGCGTGTTCTATTGATTTTCATCAAATCGGAAACGATGAAAATGAATTATTCGGGCTCAAAATAGCACTACTTTATTAAAAAAGCTTAAGTATCATGATCCTTCTGGATCGCACGCATTGCCTATGAGTAATACATGAAAAATGATTCTAGTAATGAACTCCAATATATTTTTTGCCAAAATAATCGGCATCTTATTACATCGTTAATATTTGACAAAAAAAATATTGAAAATCTGTGCTTCATTATTCTTGCTTATATACAGACATTATTTGATGAACATATAAATAAAAGCTAGCATGGGTGTCATTATTCTTGTGAAATCAGTTGAGTTATATATTACCCAATAAATTTCAATAAGATAAGCTTAAAATAAAGAATATCCTTGAATACAGATCAGTGATTAAGCTATTATAACTACTAAATTATCCTATTTTTAAGCATACGTGGCTGAATAATGAAAAGAAGAAGATTATTTTCGATATCGCTGGTAATGTGGGAAATTTCCATGAATCACAAATTTATTATACATCCAAATCTCTTATCAATTCTTGATTTTCATTTACTGGAATTAACAGGTCATGGTCGAGCTGAGCCAAACCTCTAAAATCTCAGAAATTTGGCGGTTTTAAGGCGTCCTTTTTGATCTATGTCCGCTAAAGGAGGCGCTCGTAAGAAATGGACCAAGGCTACAAACAAGGAGAAACGTGAGTGGGCCGTCATCATCACACCAGAACAAGCTGCTGATATGGCTAAGTCCGTTCCAAAGAACAAGGTCATCTCCGCCGGCAAGCTCGCTGAGCGTTATAAAATCTCCCTTACATGCGCTCGCAAGGCTCTCGAGGCTTTAACAGCTGAGGGCAAGATCGTTCCAGTCATCAACGGTCACGACCTCAAGTGCTATGGCCCACACCCAGATCATGTTGTTGAGAAAGTTGAAGAGGTCAAGGAAGAAGCCAAGAAGCCAGCTGGCAAGAAGGGTGGCAAGAAGCAGTAAATTTTGAATCTCTTCTAATTTCGAATATTACTCGTTTTGTTGTTATCCCTGCAAAACCTTTTTCTCGCACACATAAACATATGATAAATCTACTTAATTATTTTTCTTTTCTACTTGTTTTTTTTGGTCCTAAAAAATTTTGGATTCTGATTTGACCAAAGATTGAAAAATTGTCACATATACCATCCATTTCCAATATCTACATTAATATTTTAAGTTCGAAATATCCTTGCATGACATGATATAAGTAGATATCACACATTTACTACTATTTAAACACGTAAATAAGATAAATATATCTCTTATAAAAATTAAGATTAATATGATATGAAATGCCTCACAAATATTAGTAATTTTTAGATTTTCAAATTGTATTTTTTAAATTTTTTAATGAATGAGGTTCTGAAACTTTTCATTCTCATATCAGAAAGCTACCACACATATCCTCTCATTTAATTCTTCTTTATCAAAGAAATTAAAAAAAAATTATTTGTTTTTAATCTTCTTTAGAGAACAATAAATAACGCAATCTAAGTTTTTATTCTAACACAACTCTCCAAAAACACTAACTTTGGAAATTCTAAGAATATTATTATATTTCGATTTTGGATGTCTCTCTATATGCAAATGATTCAACAAGAATGGGGTATCAGGTTTGTAATTGTAAATACCAGGGTGCGATGCAGGAACTTCAATTAAATCCGGTTTGCCATTTAAGGCGATAAAAAGGGATTCAGGGGCTTTCATCATTGTTCCATGATTATTAACAATGGATTGTATGGCAATTGAATGACATTTTGCTCTAATTTTATTGAATGAAATGTTAAAGTATGGATTTCCTTCAATTTCATCAGAACTACAGTAATATTTGTCATTTGAGAAGATCTTGACTAGAGAAAGCTCTGGAATATTCGATGGAGATGCATCCAAAGAGAAAACTTCGAAATCAAAAGCTTTATCCTTCATATTTGTTGCTTTGCAAACACTTTGAACAATATCACAGACACCTTGTTCATTGTGATTAAATTCTTGAATAGAATATAAAGAAACAAGAAAATTATATGAAAAATTATAAAAATCTTGTTTTTGAAATGATTCAAAGAACTTTGACATTGTTTTACGTCTGTAATCTAATATGTTACTAAATATTTTCTTTGAAACTGAAAATGGAATCCAATTTATGTTATAGTTCAAAACATAAGACTGAATATCATCAAAATTAAAATCTAAGGTAGAAGATAACTTTTCTTTGTCTTCTTGACTGATATTAGTATATTTCTGGCAAACACGCGAAATTAGAAGAAATCTTTCGTTTGAAAGCAAGGATTTGTAATATTTTGACTTAACTATCTCTAGTAGATGCTCGATGTAGATATGCTTGAATATTTTCTGTTTCTGACTTTCAGAAGATTGAGAAATAAGTAAAATGATTTGATCAATGTATTCTAAAGAGAATTTAAGGCAGCCACACTTGCAAAATTGTTTGATGCAATCAACTGTTGGTCCATCTGGGAATATTTTAGAAAAATAAAATTTTAATATTTTTATCATATATTCGCAGCCGTAATACTCGGAGATTGAAATAAGAGGAATCAAAGATTTGCGTGTAACTCTAAGTTGACCTGAATAAAGAGCTGAAATAAAAGTTTTAAATTCTGAAAGGGGATTGAACGGAATTGTATAGTCACTGATGCTTTCTGCGCTATCTGCAAACAATTTATGAAAATATTTGCAGTTGTAAGCCAGAAAAATCTTGTGGGCAGGAATAACTTCTTTATTTGTATGAATAGATATATCAGTAAACTCATTAACGAAGAAAAACTTATTGTAATGATAAGGAAGAATATTGTCAATGATGAATTCTTGGCTCATTAACTAATTTTTTTTGTCCCTCTGAAAAAATATGTCACTTTTCAAAACTGTCAAAATAACTTTCCCATAGTCGATTTCTACCGGCTGTAAAAATTTTGAGATGTTGACACTTTTGCTACCATTGACATCGCCACAACAAATATTCATATATTTAAATTATTTTCTTTGCTTTGTGATAATTAAAATTTCTTGAAATATTCAACAATTCAAAATTTCCACATTGTATAAAAAAATCAAGAAAAACATTTTGAAAGAAATCTGATTGAAAGTCTAATTAAGATGTTCTATCTTGTTCCCGATTGAGTTTTCTTTGATGTGGAAATATTACCCAGATTTTCCTTACTTTTACCACTCCCCATGTAATTTCTGGGGAAAACGATAATTCATTTTTTTTATGGATGAATAGATCGTTTTCCTTGAAAGGACCTCATATCTCTGGCTAACAAGAGTGTCAGATCCTAAATAGGTTATTGATCTAGTGTACAAATCCAATAAAAAGCCTATTTTTTTGGCTTTTTTGGTGCTCATTTTTTCGAAGATCTACATGAATATGGGGAAACCATCGGATTTTTTTGGTTAACCCACATCTTCATGTAGTCTGGACTATCTTTCCTCGAAGGACCTCTTTACGGGTGTAAAAACTCATAAAGTTCTCAAAAGATTCATTCTCGATCTCCATGCTGAAAGAATTTACAATAAAAAAGAGATCTACGCATCAAACTACAGCCATAAATGAACTGAACCCCTAAAGCTCAGCTCTTAGTTTATCAAAAACGTCGAAATCCTTCTCATTGCAATCAAATTTTCTCAATAACTCATAAGAAAAATCGAATTTTGATTAAGCCGATGTTATAGGTATCACAAATACTACAAACTTGAGCAATATCGAAATTGCCAGCAAAAGTTTGAAATTGCATTGCTCATATTTGTTTTGTAAACTAAAAATCTGCTTATATTATTCATTAATTTTTTATATATTATTCATATACTTTAATAAAAACAATACTATTTCACCTTAAAAATGAATTTCATAAGTCAATATTATTTTTTTGAAAATGTATCAATTTTCGATTAAAACAACATGAGAATAAAATTTACGCAAAATTATTTTAAAAAATGGTTTTAAAAATTTACAATTGATGAAGAATAAGATTGGAAGAAGTTTTGAAGTTTAATTTTAAGAAAAAAAATTCGGATATTATTCATGGATCTAAGTAATCTGATATTTGAGTATCGGCACTATGCATAAAACATATATTTATAGTTTTTTTTGGATTTTTATGATTTTAAATATATTCAAATTTGGCAATCCAATAGATTTTTAAAAAATAGGTAAATAAAAATAGATTACATATGCAGCAGATTTAGAACATGAAACAAATCTTATAGTGACCCCAAAAAAAATTCATGATCCAAAAAAGAAAAAAAATTGGCTAAATGGGAATCAAACCTTGGCATAATGAATCATTTTGTCGGAGGTTTCCACTACACTACATCGGCAGTTCAAAAATACCGTTGGTGGTTCTATTTAATAGCTACTCCCAACGATAAGCGGTGTCCCCAACTTTAGAGGGGTGGTAAAAGTAAGGAAAATCTGGATAGATTATGAAGAGTTAGAAATGTTTACTAAAGTTTGTAAAAAAAGAGAAAGTTTATTAAATTTAGAAATACTTTTATTGATAATTGCAAATTCTGCTTGGCAATTACCAGTTGAAAAATGAATCAAATTGTTAGTAAATAGTTCTCTTGGATTAGTAGGTTCTACATTTCTAAGAAATGTTGATGAAGTCGAATTGTCAATGTAACAACTATCAACTGTTAATTGATCATTATAGTTATATATCAAATATGAACCTTGAGGAGTAGTGTTGTTAATAAAAGAACAACTTTTTACAGTAAGAGAATTAACTGTATGGTAAATAATTCCATATTCTGATTTTGTATTGGTATTATTTATAATATTACATGAATCAATCAAAGCTTTATACCAAATATTTATCATATCTACATAATTATCTGTTGCTAAATTATTAACAACAGTTGAATAGTTAAATGTTGTTATGTATTTAAGTGATTCACATCTATAATGTCCAGCAGGTTGGTTAGAAGCTTTATTTGATGAGAAATTTGTTGATGAGACAACGACATTATCATTCATTGTTTGACATATAACAGATCCATCAATTTCATTTCCTACATCGAAAAGGGAACTTTCAATAATAAAGTTTAAGTTATCGGTGCCAACTTTTGTATATGAAAATTGGCCATTTCCTTTGCCTTCACATTTCGTACAACAGAATTTGCGTTGAACAATTGAACTATCACTGCCAATTTGGTAGTTAATGCAATTTCCTTCTGATGTTGAAGTGCAGTTACTAAAAGAACAAAGATTATGGAGGAATAATGAGTTGTTAATTGGGTTAAAGTTGACAACTTGGTCATGATCATCAAAAAAATTACACTCGTCTAAGTAATATTGACCTTGACCTGGTGTGAGATTACAGTTTTGACTGTTTTTAGTTTCTACTCCTGAAAATTGATGATTGAAGTAACTATTCCAAACGTTGTCATCCAATGAGGATGACTTTCTTCCGAATTCATGCACACTGGCAAAAAACCGTAAATTTTCATTGAATAATAAAATCTATTATTTTACCATGTATCATCAATATTTAACTTCCTACAATTTAATTTTTGTTTTTACAAATTTTTGACAATTAATTTAATGAATTATATCGCAAAGGGAACTTATGCTTGTCCAGCTGGAAAATTCGTTTGGAGAAAAACATCCAAAAATAATATGTTTTCTATATTACGCAGTAGGTAAAGGATATGAAGTTAAAGAATTGATTAATAAGTTTATCTTTTAAATTGATTTTGGAATCTGTGATTGTGGAGATGAATCGAACAATAAAATAATTGTCTAAACTGAACAGTTTTTAAGAGATCTAATTTATGACTCACTCCCAATTGATAATTCTAGTCTAAATTATTGTTTTCTATAATCATTATTCATCAATTTTCTTTGCAAATATATTATAATATTATCAGCCATTTTAGATTGTTTGATATAATTGTCGAATCGTATAAGAGGTAATATATTTTTAAGACATGTTGTGTCAAAAGTACTGCTTCAAGGAAATCAGATTCAATATTGAAAAAAATTAATAAATAAAGTAAACATCATTTTTATTTGATTGATTTGTTGTGAGAATAAAAATTCATGAATCACGTTCAAGAACAACAAGTTCGTCGTGATAAAGATCATCAGTTTCTTTCTTAGGAACTTTCTTCTTAAAGATTGTTGGTTTTTGACCTTTAGAGACTTTTTCAACTTGATTTCGCAATTTACCTGAGTATGGTAAATATTTTGTTGCTTCGTCTTGACTAAGACTTCGGATGAAATAAAGAACTTCATCGTCGAATTCATCGGATTCATCATGATCTTTGAAGTAGTTAAGAACATCAAATTTGTTGAACTTTCGGCATAGAAAGCGGACACCGGTTTGGATCATTGTATCTGGATAATTGTTTTCTTTCATGTAAATAATGGAGAAAGGAACTTCACTTCCATTAAGAATTCCGGATTTCTTCAATTCGTTACAACACAGACTGCAGCTGTCACGAACTGTTTCATCACCAATGTAAATAATGAAATGTGACAAATATTTGCGTGGAAAGATACCCCATAAAAATGGGCGAACTAAATGATTGAAAAGATCATTGTTTCGACTGAATTTCAATGAATGCCAAACACGACAATAATTTCGGATAAAACTATCTTCAATATGACAATAATCACTTTTGATGATGTTCTGTAAACAAAATAAATTAGAAATAGCTTTCATCGATTTCAATTTGATATTTGTATCATTAGATTCAAGTTTCAATGAGAATGTTTCAAATATCTTTAAATACATTTCTTTGTAATCATCAACTAATTCTGGTTTCTCTTTAAGTTTCAAAACATCCCATTGGAAGAATAAATCAAGTGCTTCGATAGAGTTCTGACAGATATCACTGTTTTCGTCATTGACACCGTCAAATAAAACATTACGAATTTTGTCGTTATCTGACATGTTGACAAATCTAGCGGCGGACAAAAATTTTGAGATGTTGACACTTTTGCTGCCATTGACTTCACCACAACAAACTGCTAATCGATCAAGTTCGGTCCGTGCAATCTGGTTTAACTGGTGATGACCAACTGAAAGTTCGTACAAAACGGATGATGCACAGTTGAATAAATTTGGATCATCACTTGAAATGAAACTTTCTCTGATATTTGTTAACAAATCTGGGAACATCCTGTCAACTGAGAACTCTGAAACACAGTCAAGATCAATAAGACTTGCACATTGGATCAAATAGATTTGTGTATGAGGATCTGATTGATATGCTAAGATAAGTTGTGAAAGTTTAGAAACAAATGTGACACTTAAATTTTCCAAGATTTCCGTGTTTTCTTCAATTGGAATATTTTCGATCTTACCTGATGCTGCCTGTGCTGAAAACAAAAGAATCATTGATAATCGTTGTGATCGTTCTTCATCAATTGTCAACAATTTCTGACAAATAACGTCAAACTTCTTAAGAACACCAATAACTGAATAAAGAACTCCGATGACTGACTGAAGTTCGTCTTTTGTAAACCTCTTTGTGAAGTCAATCAAATGTGTAAGTTGTTCATCATCACTTTTTGATTGGTCGAAGAAACGTGACACGACAAATTTTTGAGCAGCGATTCTTACACTTGGAGTTGCATCAGCCAAAAGAAATGAACAATTCTCAAGTTCTTCGTCTGATGAGTGCAAACAGTTGTTTTCTGACATCTTCTTGAGAATCATCAATGATGTTTCAACTGTTTTGTTGTCTTTGTCGTCACATAAATCAATAAGGTTCTCTTCAATCCTTTCACATAAATGTTTCCAGTTTTCACTTGGTGTGTTTTCAATTAACCTTAAAATGGATTTGAGGGCGTTTTGACGGTCTTTCGTGACTTTGTCTCTGACGCAGATCGCGAGTTGTGAAAGATGTGTCTCGTCGGAGAATGGGTTAGGACATTGGATAGCTCCGTCAACTAAGGAATCTAATGAAACAATTCGGACTTGTGGATCGACATCTCGGAGAGATTTGACGAGAATAGCGTTGTAGAGGTTGTTCGCAGATGAAAGATAGAAACGGTTTTCGTTGGTCAGTGACTCGATTTTGCTCTTGATGATATCTGACTGGTCTGACTTCTTCTGGAGACGGCAGAGCTCTTCTGACTTGGTACTGATGGACTCTGTAAGCGCGAGAAAGAGAGATGAGGCACATTGAACGGCAATTGTGCGGATGTAGCGTGGATGGGACTCGCTGAGTATGGTAATCCAGTTTCTGTAGCTAAGGGCTTGTTTTGTGAAGATTGCCTGCGTAGAAATGATCTGCTTCGATATAAAATTCCAGAATTCTGGGAGTAGCTTCGAGATGTTCTTTGAGAATGAGGTAATTGGTGGCTTGAATGATGGAGCGTTCTCTGATGCATCATTGTATTCCTCTAGTAAGGCTTCACCTGCGATGCTTTCGAAATGAGCTGGCGTTATTTCAATTTTGTGGCCCGCCAACTGGAAAATCAACGAAATCAGCTCGCAGAAGGCTTTGTCTTTGTCCTTCTGATACAAATGACCCCATTTTTTGATTATTTGGTCTCGATCGTTCGAAACGAAGTAATCAAAAAGGTTTATTGAACTATTTGTATCAGAATCGTTCTGTATGTCTGTAGTCTTTTCTAAATCTTCTGGTATTTCAGTTTGCTTCGACTCACCTTCCTTGCTTTTAGTCGACATTTTTATTACTTCCTCCAAAATTTTGACGATAAAATTCATTCATAAACATCACATCAATGAAACCTTAGCTGTTAAAACTGTAGACTCTCGACACTATGAAGAAGTGACTGATCAGGATTTCACTCGGGGATTTTTGTTTTAAAAAATTGCAATTAAAATTCTTTGTAAAGAATCGATAATAATATACTGCATTTAATTTGTTTACATTATACAATTCGAATCATCATATAATTATCGCCTTTGGATGATTTTTATTTCGGTAATTTTTTAATATGTTTGATTTCGGATCAGATGATTAATCTCAGCGTTATAAAAGAGGAGAAAAATCTACTCAAGAGAAGAAAACAATGAAATTTAATTTATCATACAAGATTGTTTTAACTTAAGTACAAATGAATATGAATGCCATGGATACAAACGTCAAATAACTATATTTCGAGCAAATACAGGAGTATTTGATAATATTAAATTGAACTTGTGAATTTCCAATGGCACACCAAAGACTAACTCGTTTAGTATTTACCCCAGGGGAGGAAGGAATCCCTGATTCATAATATATCGAAGGAAAATTGCATAGCATTCCAATGCTATACCACCAATCGATATTACCTAGAGTACCATCGAGATATGTGGTAGGTTCGTGAGCATACTTTTCTGGTAATGTAGTATGAAGAAGACCACCCCAACCATTTGATGATTCAGTGAAAATCGGATAAAATCCTATTGCTTTTGTTATGCCCGAGCGCTCCAGTTCTTCAGTAGGCGAATTAGTCTGCTTCCAGGCATTAATAATGTTTAATAAGGGATACTCGATAATGAAATATCGAAAATTGTCTGCCATTAAGTATTTTGTGCTATTAAGATCGTATAATATAGAAAACTTGCCGTCTGTACTAATGTTTTTTGCTTCTTCCAAATTGTTGAAGCATTTTGATGTTGAAAAGTTATGTTCGAAAACGAGTTGATAGAGTTTGGTATCAAATAATGAAAACACTTCATTACCTATGTATCTTCGATAAAGAATCATCTAATCGAAAGGAAAAGGAGACAAAGATTTTTCATATTTTAATTTTTAAAAGAGATTTCCTCACTTTTTATTTTTGTACGTTACTTCATTATGGAAGAATTTATAAAATGCTCATACAAGGGTGAAAGGAATCAGGTCGGAACAATGGATGGAAAGGGTGAATTTACTTTTCCAAATGGAACTCGTTATGTTGGTGAGTTAATTGATGGAGAATTTCATGGAAAAGGAACTCTCTTCTTCCCAGGTCGTGGCCGCTATGAAGCAGAATGGGATCACGGAACTGTTGTTTCTGGCCGTTTATTCTTCGATGATGGCTTAGAACATCAAGACGAAAACTGGATTTACTGCTCAGACCAAGATCGCCGTTATTACAATGAAGTTACAGATGGATTACACCCAGCTGGTGAATCATTCATTACACCAATTCGCCAGGAAAACAAACAATAAATTTCGTTACTATTTTTTTAATTGTGTTATAATTGTCTTACTGTAAATAAACGTACAGTATAATATATACATTTATGTCATTACTTATTGAATATAGCTAAAAAATAAATTCAAAAATTTAATAAAATTTAAATACTAGCTTTTTGATTGTTGGGCCATTAACTGCAGCTTGCTTAGCAGCAAACATCTTCCTTTGCTGTCTTGTGCGGACTCCTTTAGTTTCTTCATTCATAACTAATTGAATAATCTTCTCAGATCAAGCCTTTCAGTTAGTCAAACCCAGCACATTAATGACGACAAAAGACTTGTAAGATCTATCTTAAATGCCTTTGGATTCTTTGTTCTCCTATTGGGTACAATATATGAACAAGTATATCTCAGATGCGAAACAAAGTCTTCAGTCAGTCTCTTATTGTCTTCATAAGACTCAAAATGGCATTTGTTGAACTCCAGATGAGGAACAAAGATATTTATATTTCTACTACCATCTGAGGATGGATGAAAAAACAAAGTAAATAACAAAAAACAAAACAATATTTTTAAAATCATAAAACAATCTTAAAAGCCATCTGCATATTCGGCGCATCTTATTAACAACTCTTTACATTGTAAAGAAGTAGCTAAATTAGCTACTTCTAATAAGAACTGAGTTGATTCTCTTCTTCTATTTGTATTTAATGCAATAATATCTGCACAAATCGATAATGAGAAAACTTCTTCAAGCATCTGAGGATCTTCGTTGTTTTCTTTCATTAATGCAACTGCAGAATCAACAAGTTCTCTAAAAACAATTAATTCGAACCTCTTTTTGTTTCGAATCAATTTTCTTAAGTTTGCTGTTGAAAAATCAAATTCATTTCCAAAAGAAAGTTGAGTAAAATACTTGAAATTACTCATATTCCTTTGTATTTCAACTAATGTATCATCGGATTTATAAAACTCTTTTGGAGGATTTTCGAGAATTTGACAATAATCAGTAGCTTTTTTGTCAAAATCATTAAATAACTGAGGAATTTCTGTTTGGATTTTCTCCTTCATATGATTCATTAAATCAATTAAATCTTGTGCAGTTTGTTGTGATTGGTTTTGTTTCATTGCAACAAGTAAATCATGATATGCTGCTAAGATTGTTTCATCATTCAATTTGGTTAAGCTTTCTTCAAGATTTTTAATAAAATCTGATATTTCAATGATTTTGATTTCATCATCTAAAGATTTCTCTAAAATAGAAACTATTGATGAAATGAAATCATGCCATCCATTATTTGTAGATGATTTCAGAGTGAAAACAAAGTATCAAAACAATGAAATCAAGTCATTTGAAACAAAGTTCGTAATGAAATAACTTTGTTGATAGTTTTCAATCAATTTATAGAAAATTGATTTGGCTTGGGATTTCATTTCTTGACTTTCTGTTTGTGATTGAATTAACTCAATGTATTTGCTTGTTAATCCTCCTAATGCTAAAGAGATGTATTCAGCAATTGGAATATCATCAAATGACTTAATTTCATCAACAAATGATTGATAATTTTCTGACAATTTGATGTCACTTTTTGTGATTTCAATTTCATTGTCATATTTAGAAATCTTTTCTTTTATCGTTTGGATATTTAGTTCTCTGTATTTCTCTCCATATAATAGAGTAAATTGGTCATTAAATAATATGGAATTAAATTGAAGTGAACTGATTAATAAAAGTGACAATTTCTTGAATTCATTTTCGAATTTGTTTTCATTAGATTGATCCAAATAAATTGAAATGAAATTGTCATAGATAGTTTTGATACATTCATGATCATTTGACAAAACTTTGGATGAATAATAGCATTTCATTGAAAACTTTTTGTTTCTTGTTCCCAGATAAACAAGAATATCTGAAATTCTTGGTTTTTCTTCATTTAATTTCATAGAAATCGAAGCTAAATTATAGAATCCTTGTAAAGAATTTTCTTTCTTTTGATATAAAACCATGACAATATCAAGTATTTCCTGTTTGTTTTCATAATAAAAAGCTATCGAAGGAGCAATGAATTCCTTGATTTCAATAATTACATTTTCATCAATCTTCAAAGAATAATCTTCCATTTTTTGAATGATTTCTTTGATTGAAAGATTGTTTGTCAAAATTTCGAAACAATTTTCAAAGAATTTTTCTGTTCCAAGATTATTTTAACAAATTAAATTTATGTATTCTTCTAATGGAGTACCTTTGAATTTGTCAATTACAGAAACAACATTCTCAAGTTCAATTTCATTGCTGCCAATTGTTTGAAGAAGTTTATTGAATAAACCTCTCAATTTGTCACTTTTTGAATATTGTTCGTTATTTTGGAATTTCATTTTTTGTGAAAGAAGAGCAATGGAATTTTTACAGATTATTTCTGTTTCTGAGATTTCTGTTCCATCCCTTGGAGAATCTTCTGAATAAATCAGTGACAAAATGCTGATTTCTTCTGATAATTCATTTTCTTCTTTGATTTCTGACAAAACAGAATTAATTTTATCATCATTCTTGTAATTTGTTTCTAATCATGAAATACTGTAAATAACTTTGGAAACATCAGAAAGGAAACCACAGTATTTTGTAAACAATGACTTGTTAGTCATAAACAATGATAAAAGATCTTCAAGTTTTCCTAATAAATTGGAAATTCCTTTGATCAAAGAAACATCCAAGTTTGACTTGCTATGAAGATTCTGACTTATTGTATTGAAATATGAACTCATTTCACAAACAAATTGACCATACAAAATGAAATTCTCATCTTCAATAGTAAAAGATTGATATAAAAGTGACAAATCTACTGTCACTTTTTCTAAACAATCAATAACAAATTTAATGTTTGTTTTCTCTGTTTGATTCATTCCTATCAATGAAACAAATTTAGATAACAACTCTATTAATGTCTCGAAATGAATTGATAAATTACATTCACGATATTTGTCATCAAATGTCACTTTTGACGATAAAAATTCAATATCTTCTTTCATTTGTTTTGTGTATATAGATATTGAAGGATAAGTTACTTTTTGTTTCATCTTGTCGTAAAACTTAACCATTGAATCAAGTTTTTTGACGAATGATAATAAATTATCATCAAATTTCGAAATTTCTAATGCTTCTGCAAAAGATAAATCTAAAATGAAGCAAATTCCATTCAAAAGATTTGATTGTGAGTAATCAGGAGTCATTTTGTTTGCTCTGATATTCATTTCTTTTACAATTTTGTTGAATTTCTTTGTTTTAACAAGAAAATCATTTAATTTATTGTTATTTTCAACAAAAGGAAAAGATTTCTTGATCAATTCATAGATCTCTTTGATCTTGTTTTCATCATCTAAATTGATTTCATCTAAGTTGATTGTTTCGAGTTTTTTGAATGAAAATTCTGATTCTTCATTATTTGTTTGTAAACTTTTTGCTGTTTTTGAGTTATTTATGAAATATTTCTCGTATTCATTAATCCTGTATTTTGATTTTGGCTTAAGAGTTTGTAGTTTGTCTAAAATTGTCAAAAGTGAAGTGATGTCAAAAATAACCTCTTTTATATCAAAAATTCCTTGATCGAATTCTATTTTGCTTACATTCAAACAGAGTTTTGAAAACAAGACAGATAAAAAGTATCCTTTTGATGGATTTTCTAAAATTGATGGCAATGTCACTTTTCTTTCAAAATCTTCTGTCAATAAATCCAAAAATTTCAAAAGTTCTTGGTTAGTTCCTTGTATCATGAAATTGCTTTTGTATGCCATGTAAATTGTATTCAAGAATGTCAATATTTCATCACCTATTTTGATGTCTTTGATGAGATTTGTCATTTCTATGGCTGTTGACGATACATCTATCAAATTTGTCACTTTTTGTGGTGTCAAAAAACATAATGCGAATAAAATGTTGTCTAAATGATACAAGAACACTGAGCATGTCTGAGAAAGATTAGTTTTAGCAGTATAATCAATATGTCCTGTAAAAGAAATGAATTCTTTGAGCTGATTTCGGAATGAAACTAAATTTGCAAAATCTGCTTTTGAATAATGATCTTTTGAACTAATAAAAGCTAATGTTACTTCATTAGCTATATTCTCGCAAAGAGATTTTGCTGCATTTAATGTTTTTTTGTATTTCGCAAAAATTGGATCTGAAATGCATTGTTCTATGTTACAGATAACTTCTTGAAGGAATGGTGGATTAGCACCAACTAATAATTGGATACTTTGCGTTGGAGAATTTCGATAATGAACTAATTGATTGTTTTTATCATAAATTGAAGTAATTTGGAATGACAACTCTTTCATTTCTTTCAAGAAAAACAATTTATGGGCTTTCAATGTTTTCTCATCAAGGTTTTCATTATTCGGATCGCATAAGTTGTAAAAATATCGTGTAAACATAGGGATATTGCTTGTTAGAAACTTTTTATAGCTTTCTATGTTGCCTGTCATAGTAGATAAAGCATTAATTTGTTCTTCAATGTTCTTTTTTAGATCTTCTAATGAAATTGACTCTTCGCTAAGATATTTGAGCTCTGAAAAGATCGAATCTTTTGTTGGTAATTGTATTGTTGATAAGAAGTACGTAACGGATCTTAAATCTTCTAAATCAACAGAAAAGTTAGTGACAGGATCATGTTTAAACTCAATCGATTTGGCCCTGACCTCTAATTGAACATAATCCATCAAATTCTGTAGATATTTATGTGAATCATTCATCCAGAAATGATGTTTTCAATTGAAAAAAATTCAGATTAGTGACAAATTTCGAAAAGAAATTGATCAGATTACTTCTATGTCTTCCAAGGAACTAATAACACTCTACTACTCGGTATTTGTTTGATATCCAATCAATTCTTACTCATTCATTGCAAATTTAGCAAAATTGAAATTAAACCTCAATAGCAGAAAATAGTAAGGAAAAAATACGAAAACATTTGAGTGTTATCTAATTTGATACACTATTTTAAACAAATGTTCTCATTTTTTATGGATGATCCCGAGAATGATATTAGCTCCAGAAATATAATTAGCAGGCAAAAGGATAGATTTGATTCCAAGTATATTGGCGATAAAAATCAAGCAGATGACATTAATACGAAGTTAGATTCCGTCATTAAAAAATTCGAAAATAATAATATAGATGATCAAGTACTTCATGAACTTCTGGATATCTACAGTTCAAATATATTCCATTTACATAGAAAATACGTTGATATTATGCTAAACATTGCTAGCCAAAATGAAAGCAGCGATATCATAGTTCAAATCATTAAGTATATTACATTCTGCGATATTAGACTCAAAATCAAATCGTTTGGAAGAAAAGAAATCGATTTTATACTTAAAAATTTAGAAAAAGCTAATTTCATAGAAATATTAGCCTATGTACTAACTTCATCTCGCTCTGATATGCGATACTTCTTTCAAAATGATTCTTTTATCCCATTTCTTGAATTCATATCTTCATCAATTTGTCAAAACGCGCAAAATTCAGTATCATGTTTTAAGTTCATTGAAATTGTTTGTCAAAACAAGCAGATCGCGCTAATTTTCCAAAATTTAATTGAAATTTTACTTCATGATGAGTTCCAAGTCAATGCAAGTATGAAAATGCAGACGATCTATACGTTTTATTACTTTAATCCGCTACTTTCTCAAAAGTTATTACCAAATGAGATATTACCAAATTTATTCTCTATTATCGAACAAAACAGCTGTAATGATGACTTTTTAGCATCGTTTCTTAAGTTTTTAGTTATTTTTAGTCGTAGTTATGAGGAGAAACAAGATTTTATTGAATCAGGAGCGTATTCGTTTGTTTATAGTATCTATGAACGCGTAGATCAAGAAAATAAGAAGAGATTAGTTGAAATTTTGATTAATTTACAAGGAGAAACGGAAAAGATTGATGAATCACATTTATCATTTTTATTACATTTGATATCAACAGTAATGCAATCGAATATTGTCTTGCAATCATTAATAATTCGTCTTTTCTCAAAGGAGCTGACATTTCTCGGATCTAACTCAATTAATTATTTGAATCAGTCATCATATATTGAAATCATTACGCAAACGATTCCATATTTAGGAAAACGCACAAAGAAAGCAATATTGAAAGCTTTAGACTATTGTAATATTGTAGGGAAGGCTCATGGATTTGATTTATTTTCTATATTGAGAAATAATGATGGGTTTTTAAGTTATATTGAAGAAGATGAAATTTTTACTCCATTATCTATTCAATTGACAAATGAAAATCAAAATGATAACATAATGGATTCAAAAACGCAAAATGATGACGAATCATTTTATTCTTACTCTTATTCAGATGATTATTATTCGTATTGCAGCGAATACTCAGACGATGAAAATTCTGAACAATAGAAACAACAAATCAGCAAAGCTTATTGAATGTTTTAATGTATTATTCATATTATATTTATATCATATGTTTGTTATTAATAAACCATGTATTTAATTGACTATTGAATTGATTTTTCTGAAATTAGCATTCTTTTCGATGCAATTACTCACTTAATTGATTATATGAAGTTATTACAATTTCCTCTTGGAAAAGATATGTTTCAAGGAAAGAGAAAATGAATGTATTTGATATGAATTTTTAAAAACAACAAATTCATTTCTCTAGCGTGCCAATTGGATATCTAATGCAATAGTTGTGTCATTGTATGCATTAAATATCCCTCCATTTTCTTCTATATTCATGTTCAATAAATGTCATCTAGTTGAGCATTCTAACCTTAAAAAGAATCCTTTCTCGGAAGGGCAAGCTTGATGCATCGTATAAAGGAATGCCAATAACGATTGAAGATAAACATTTTTGATTTGTCAGAAAATATAAAAAAAATGCTGCAAACTTCGTCACAATTTGGAAGATTTCCAGTTGATATGGTTATAGTTAGAAATGCTATTAGTGAAGGAGCTATTGCAATTAAAAAGAAACAACTGGGTTTATCATATACAATGGACGAAAAACTTCAAAATCTTCATCCATCACGTTGGAGACTTACAAATTTCGGTCGTTTGCAAGCCGAATGCACAGGAAATTGGATCAATGAACACTTTCCCCTCCAATTTGATGCTTATATCACAGGTGAATTTGTAAGATCAATCGAGACTGCCGCCACAATGAAATTAAAAGGTGCTTTATGGAAACCATCCTTATATTTAAGACCTCGTGAGTTCGGCAATTACTCTCTCCTTTCTAGAGGCGTAAATCCCAAAGAAGTTCAAGCATCTAGGAACATTAAAGAAAAAGTAAGAGATTCTTTCTACTGGACTCCACCTAATGGTGAGTCTATCGCACAACTTACACTCAGAACCGAAAGAGTTATTCACTGGATTAGAAATAGAGTTCCAGCAGATGGTTCCGTTGTTATTGTCACAAATAAGGATATTATGGAAGCTCTCAGAATCAGAATTGAGAAGATATCTCAATCAGATTACGATAGAAGAATAAATCATTGTCCAAAAGACGAATCATTACATTACTGCTCAATATTACACTACTCAAGACGTAATCCGAAAACTGGTGAAATTGTTCCACGCTACAGCTGGATGAGAATTTGTACTCCTTGGTTAGGAAAGAATTACGCAAAGGAAGACTTTAAAGAGATATACGAGATATCTTATAAGAATGAGGAACTTCTGGCCGAAGTTTCTAACGTTCCATGTTTGTTTTAATTGTAAACTAGTTTGTTATAAAAATTTAAAAATTATTTCATCAAAAAACTTATTTGAAAACTACGCAACTACATTAGCCCTCCAGATAACTATAAATTATTTACTTATGTTACAAAAATAATCTAATTAACAAAAATTAAAAATATTCCTAAGATGAATTTTAAAAATAGTTTAAAAAACATAAATATTCAAACAATTTATTCAAGTAAGTTTTCGTATTCCCTCTCATTTTCACGCATTGTAGTTCTTTCTTTACGATAATTATTAAATTGCGTCCAAATTTGGGCAAATTTAGTTAAACTCTCTATATCATTAGACTCAAGCATCGGACGTTTCCAATTTCGTAAGAAATTTTTTCTATCAATCCTTGCTTGGGATTCAAATTTTGCTTGTTCCATTGATTTCAGCTGAGCTTCTCTAGATATTTCTATACCTTTTTGTACCATCAAAGCTTCTTTAAATAAGCTATCAAATTGTTCATCTTCTTTTCTGACTTCTGTTTGGTATCTGAAATGCTCTGATTCACGCTTTTCATCAAATTCTGATTCAATAATGCCAACCATTCTTTCATTTGCTTTCGCGAAAGTTGCAGAGCTAATTAGTTCGTTAATTACTTTCATTGTAAGCTGATCTTCTCGAATTTCTTGATTTTGATTGAATCCTAGTCGAAGATTTTTAGCTGTTTGAAATGCTTGAAGATTTAATTCTTGAGAACGATCTAGTTTGGCAGTCCATGATAAATCAAGAACTTTTACATAGGGTATTAATCGTAGAGCCTTAAGAGCATCATTAGGAGAAGCAAAATCAACAAATCCAAAATCTAAAGTTCTATCATTTATAGTTTTTGCACGTTTCCAATTAAGAACATGGCCAAATTGTTGTAAAATGCTTACTACAAACGAATCCGGCAATGTTGGAGCAATATTGCACACAAATAATGTAACTTGAGTATCCCAATCCATGATTCAATCAATTGGCAAAAATTTTGGAAATTTGCCAATTCATCATTTACATGTCATAAAATTACTCATGTGAAACAAATTGTTATTGTGTCCATAGCGTATACGTGCAAGAAACGCATTAAAAGATAGCACAATTCGATTTAAAACATTATATATTTACAAAAAAGATAAATATTTGTTCGGAATTTTGGACCTCATGATGAAAATCAGTTGATATATTAATTCACCTATGTGATATAAGGTAATATATTGTTTATTTCAGCTATCAAAAGGGAGATTTAAAGAAAATAATCTGAAATTTATAAAAATAATAGTTTACATACAAAATATGCAATAAAATGCCAGTTGGTTGACAATTGACGGTATCTCTATAACATTTTGAAAGGCGTATCAGAAAGTTCATCTATAATTTTAACGACATTTAAAAACTGATATTGGAATGAAAGAAAATTGATGTTTTGTTCTAAAGGTATGAGCAGTTATATATGAAATTTGATCACAAAATTAAAAAAAAAATCAAATTGAAAGTGGTTTGTATGGCATTGTTTTCTTTGTTCCGATATAATTATAAATATTTGAGCGTGTAATTTGTTCTGGTTCTCTACGAAGCATTGATTCATAAAGCAAATCAACTGGATCTGTCATAAGAGCAACTAATTTTTCGCAAGATTCAACTGTTGTTTCTTCCTTGTGATTAACTTTATCTTCTTTGAAAGTGCCCGCTGGTATATTAAGAGGAACAGGTGCAATAGTCATCTAAATGTCACTTTTATATGAGCTTTTCATTGGAAATCCATTATCAAATCAAAAAATTTGATCTATCATTCGATTGTCACTGGGCTTTGTATTAAAACAGCATCAATAAATACGAAATTCTCATTATTTTCAAACATTTGGATTAGGAATATATCTTTTTTCTAGCTTAAAGACCATTCGTCGCTCTTCTTGTTCTGTATGATTCTTCACTATTCATCAACTTGGGTAGTTTGGTCCTAAATTTCAAATTTTGTGAATCAGAGGTTTTTTACTACTTTTCTAAATAGAGCATGTTATTTTTAGAAATATTTATCACTAAAAGTCATTAAAAAATATTCATTATTCATGGCAGTATCTGATTGGCACATTGAGGATATTGTTGTGACTTTGGTTCTTGGAATATTGTGGTATTGGCTTGCAAATCGTACTCCAAATCAGCTATTTATACCCGAAAAAGATCCAAATTGCATGTATCCATATAAAAATACCGGAATGAGTGGAGGAGCAAACTTAACAATTGTTTCGGCCGTGCCTATTACAGGATATTTAATCATATATTTTATAGTTAAATACGGAAAAAACATTAAATACACCCGAGGTTTTGATATTATCGAAATTATATGCGCTCATTTGTCAAGTATCATGTTTGCTGGTGATATCTGCCATGTTTTAAAGACATACGTCGGAAGAGCACGTCCAGATTACTATACTTTTACAACAGAAATTTTAGAAGCATCTGTAGATGAAGAAAAGAAGCTCTCTGATAAAAGAAAAGATGAACTAAAGAAAGAAGCATTCAAGAGCTTCCCTTCAGGTCATAGTTGCACAGCTGCTTCTGGAGCTTTATTTTTCTCATTGTCACTCATTTCTATCATTGATCATAACAGAGTTTGGTCTATCCTTTTGAAGCTACTTCCACTTTGTTATGCTTTCTATATTGGTTCAATGAGAATTGTCGAATATAGGCATCATATTGATGATGTTATATCTGGATTCCTTATTGGTTTCTTGATATCGATTGTTTTCTACCTTGCTTCCTATAATGCTGTGTATCATGGCATTAGCCCATAATTTTATAATTTGTTTTTTTTACTTTATAAAATAAATTCATCCTATCTCTTATATATCAATCTTTTTGCTACTATAATTTACATCTATGGTGTTAAAAATGAAATTGAAATATAATTCAAGATAAAAAATTTTAATTCAAGTTCAATATACTAAATCAATCAATAATTTCAAAGTAGTATAGTATGCGGGTTTTGTGCACAAATTTGTAATCCTTTAAAAACAAAAACGTGCACATTAATTTTTAGCCCGTTTCTTCACAAAAATCGACGTTTTCAGCCCGTTTCTCAGCAATGTATCATGAATTTTCTAAAGCAAAATGCATACCCCCTTATGAAGAAACCAAAGCAACATTCATGAAATTTTGGAAAAATCCCGCCAAAAAGTGAGCCCATGACATTTTAGACCCTACAAAATTCAAAGCAATATGTGATATGTTAAACGGTTTTTATTGTCATTCAATTGACTTTACAATGACAACGAGGCACTTGCTTGATGATTTGAGTGACATGTTAATATTGCCAGACGATAGACAACTTATGACATGTTAAACGGTTTTTGTGCCATTCAATGTCCGATACAATGACAAACAGGCTCTCAATTTTGATGTCGGTGACATGTCAAAATGTCAAGAAATTAGGTATTTGTGACATGTTCGGGTGGCATCGAGACCACAGAAAAAATTGAGAAGTCACTTCATTTCTACATAATGCAGACGAGCAGAGTGACGTCCAAAAGTGCCACAGATACCAGTGTAACATCCAGAACCGACAATACCCGCGCAGAGCGTGACCTCCACTACAGGACCTTGAAGCTGTTGCATAAGCTACCAGTGTTGCCGAGTGAACAAATCCAAGTATGTTTCCATCGATTACTGGAGAGTGATGAAGACCAGGACAAAATGATCAACCATATAAAAGAAGTAATCTATCGTGCAAGAGAAGACATGATCCAGGACACAGCATTCATACTGTTCAATAAATGGAAGAAGGAACAAGAAGATCACAAGGAAGCAGAACAAGAAGATCACAAGGAAGAAGAACAAGAAGAGGCTATTATCAGTTAGTATACCTAAGTCGTGTACTGTGGCACTGCGCGCCTCCGTACACCACTTAGCGGTTTTGACACTTTACGAAACCGTTAACGTATATTTTACAACACAAACGACAACACTAACTTAACCTTAAATATTTACAAAGCCACCAACCACTTCACCTCACTAATGTTTTCACAAACGACTTCACTAATGTAAAAATAAACATTCTCACTTACAAAAGTATTGCAACTCCTCCCATTGCTGTGCTTCATATAACAGCTCATAATCTTCTGACTCACTTTCTTCTTCATATAGGTCAAAGTCACTGTCAAAATAAATGTTAGTAAGTTTTGACAAAGCTAATGAAACACGTTTACCGTTTGTATCGTATGCTTGTATAAACTTTCCATTCTTCATTCCTTCATAAACGCTCAAACTAACTTTACCCTTTCTCCCTCGTATCTGATAGAATGTATTTTCACGAGGAACGAAGAACAAATTCTTGAACTCATGACCGTTGTAGTTTGTTATCTCAATAGTTTTCGTCATTACATCCAAATAAAAATTTTCAGTAAAAATAAAACTAATGAAATATTTTATTCCTCACTGTCGTCTGCTTTCTCCAACTCTTCTAACTTCTTCCTAAGTTTAGCAATGTTGTCCTCATGAAGTTTAATCTTCCTTAATATACCTTCTCTATCTAATGGTTGTTTTATCTTTCTAAACTGAACTCTACCATCCTTCATAGTATGAATGTAAAAACCTTCTGGAATAGTTCCTGATTTAATGTATTCTACCAAAAACTTTTGTTTCATTGCTTCAGTGACTTTAGTCGTCATTTTACTCTAAATAAAATGTTCAAATAAAATAAAAATAACGTTATTTTTTCAGTAAGGAAACGCAGGAGTTTTACGATTTATTTGAGGAGTAGGTTCTGGTTTAAATGTTGGAGTCGGTTTAGGAGTTGACTTTTGAACAGGAGTTTGTACTTCCATAGGTTCAGGAGTCATTGAAGGTTTTGCTTGTGAAGGTGTTGGAGTTTGTTTAACTTCAGCTACTTCAGTATTATTTACAACATTTGCTTTATTTCTTTTCAACATCATAACTGCTCCTGCTGTAGCTAGCAAACCTAGTGGGAGACCATATCTTATATAAGGACTTGACCAAATGCTATTTTTGACAGGAGCTGGTGGAACACCTAACCTTGGTGAGACTGCTCTTTGCCATTGTGCAGCTCGTAAGAAATATTCAATAGGTGCTCCATAATCGTTTGGTAAAGTTTGTTTCATAGATGGTGAAGGTTCACGAGAGCTTGATGAAGAACTCATTTATAAGCTTTAAAATAAACGTTCATCCTTTATTCCTCACTGTCGTCCGCAGCTAAGTTATAGTCATCTAATCTTATTATGGGGATGCCATTAGCACGCACCTGAATGGCAAAGCAACAATCCCTCAGTGGCTTTGGTACATTTTCAGTTGCTAGTTCAATAGGTCCTTTAACAGACAATTTGTATGTTATTGGAGCAGTAGATGTTTGACCTTGCTGGAAGCAAAAGTCCACTTCTGTTGGAAAACCACATAAGAAATGTGTGTTGTCATAGCTATCCCATTTATGTTCCACACTACCATCATCCACCAATGACCTCATAACATCTTCATTAAATCCTATCATATCATTGTTTGTATTGCAAGCGTTCGCAACCATTTCATAAAATACAGGTCCATATGATTTTTCGGTTCTGCAGGCATATTTCCATAAGCTCCCATGGAAAGCTGAAGATATTTAAACTTAGGGTTCTCAAAATTAACATAATAGTTGTCTTTCTTTCTAAATAGTGCCCAAATACTTTTAACATTAATAGGCGTATAAGCTGCTGTAAATGTTGCACTTGAACTATCTGTATTCTTTGAGAATGAACCGTCCATAGGAATCCAATCCATAACTTTAACAGGAAAACATAAAGCCTCGTTTGTATAATGTTCTACAAGTTCTGTATAAATGTTAGGGTCTAAAGAGAATGACTTTGGATGAATGAAACATTCATTAAAATCCATCTTTTCGAAATAGTTGCTGGGTTACAGTTGTAATAGTAACTGTTCCACTAGCTTCTATTGCCTTCGTTATCATAGTGAATGGTTCATTCCATGGAACAAATTTATTTGTCGGTGGATTTGAATCTGAAGCAAATGCAACTTTAAGAGTTGGATTGAAAGCAATGATATCATTTACAGATATAGATGTGCATTGTAAGGCGTCGCTACTGAACTTTACTTTAAGCTGAATGTTTCCTGCAAAAGCTGGAATAAATCGAATAGCTTCTAATGGAAGGAATCTTCTAACAGGAATTCTTAAACGAAGCTTAAAATCAAATGATTTTCCTGCTGTAATTGGACCACTAACAATTTGTCCTGTTCTGCATGTTCCCGAATGACTCCATACATCTTCATGTCGAGTCTTTGAGAAAACATCTACTTTCTTTATTTGTTCGGTAGTTTGTGAGTTTGAAGTTATATATGCTTCTTCTCTTGCGTTGTCTTGAGAATATACGATACGACCATTTGCAAGGATTTGATATCCAGCAACTGCATAGAAAGCGTCATCGAAACCAATCCAAAATCCTGGTGGGTTTGTTTTATTGGAACCTGAACCAATTTCTTTATCTACAATAAATTGACCTTCCATTTTATACGTAATGAATGTATTGTAAAGGTCCAACATATTTTCACCAGGAGGTGAGAGATTGAATGTTACCCATGTGTTATCTTTAGCAGTTCCAGGTTGTGATGGAATCTTTGCGTCAGAATATTTTCTATTAGTGTCACCAATTTGAACTGCATTGTCTATGATATCGAAATATGAGCGAATCTGATGAATATGCTCTGCTGGAGTAAATTCGTTTAGCTGTTCGTTCTGCATGTATTTACTTCAGATAAAAATATCTATTTACTTCATTATTCTCACTCTTCTTCTTGGCATTCGTGGTGGAAGTTGTTTTCTTGACATTTTCAATGAACTGTACATTCTCTTTTGTCTCAACTTCTTTCACTGGTGGGTCAGGGTTCTTTGACTCGGTTTGCTTTTCAATGAAATTCACGAACTTTGCAATAAGCTCTTGGTTCGTTATTGAAAGAACATCTGGCTTCTTTTCTTCTTGTTCTTTGGTGGCTCAGTTTGAACAGAAGGTTTTATATGGGCTTCGTGGACTTCACCCTTGCCATACACCTTAATGTTGTCGCTTTCTGCATTCGCTAATGGAACCTTTCTTTTTCTTACGTATATTTTACCATCTTTACTCTGACTTACGTAATAGAAAGGATGTTGTATTCCTCTTGCGTCATTTAATATAATAGACTCTCGCTCTGATTTTGACAAGCTCATTTTACATCGGTTAAAGTTTTAATTTTGTTTTTTATCTGCAGTCAAATGACTCAGACAAGCCCTACGGACAAGACCCAAGGGGTCATAGATGTTGAAGCATTGAAGAAAGAAATTCGTGAGCAAATTTTATCCGAACTGAAGGAACAAAAACAAGAACAAAAGCCAGAGAGACCAAAGAGAAAACTTAGTGAAAAACAACTTGCTGCATTAGCTGCTGGAAGACAAAAGAACCCACGTTTGCTGGCGAAGAAAGCTAGAGAAGAAGCTGAAGCAAAAGCTAAAGAAGCTGAAGCAAAGAAAGAGTAAATGGTTTATTTTTATCCGAATTAAATGTATAGACAAATACCTTTATCTGTTGCGTTCAGTAGTGAAAACCCTGACGTCAAAATAAAGGGGAACAGAGTAACGTTTAAGTTTCCAACAGACTGGATTGTGAACATAAATGAAGAGAAGTACATTGGCATAACATCTATGTATATAACACGTGCTTTCAGAAAGGTTGACTTTATACTTCAAGTCGAGATAGAAAATGACGAACAGTCTTTAAGCGCCCAAAACATTCACATATACAAATACTTTAAAGACGATACAACATTGTTGCAATGTATGATTTCATTTAATGAGATGTTCGAGAAAAAGTTCAACATTGAAGTACAAACTTTACAGCCTTTACGTGAGTTTCTTGCACAACTGAAAGAAGAAGGTAGTCGGCCACAACTTATAGACTTTCATTATGAATTTAATGAAAATGAAGATGGAACTCATGACTGTCAGTTTGTTATATATTCACCATTCAATGAAGTCGCTAAAGAGAAAGAAAATCCATTACGTATAAGATTTCAAATCTCTGAACCAAGTGATGATTTCAAGAATGTTTTCAATTATGATGCAATGCTTCCGAGGAAAAATGAATTTTCAAAGATTGTAACACCTGGCATTTGGATAGAAAGCAAGCTATATTATATTCAAACTTAAGTAAGGGAGTTGAAAATGAGTTCATTGGTCATACAAGAACTTCACCACTTCCTAACCCTAAATACTATAAATTAACTGGCTTCAATCGTGAGTTTTGGATAGACATGTTCTCCACTCATGACCATAACTGCCCAGTGTTCTTACCTCCAGACCATAAGGACTGTCTCTACATTGAAGCACAACTCTTAAACTCTACCATCGCAGTATTGTAAATGACCACATGGGCTTCGCCTTGCCGCTAGCGGCTTATTTTTATCACGAATGACCTCATTGCTGACAAAAATAAATGACCTTATTATTTTTCTCATTCATGACCTCAGAACTTAAGCTTTCTTATGAATGAAGTCTTAGTCTGAATAGAAAAGTTAAACTTTTCAGCAAAGCAAGGACTAGAAGACTTACATAAGTCAAATCCAATCTCTTGACCATCATGAAGTGCTTTGTAAAGTTTCATAACACTGAACTCAGAGTCTTTGTCAAATTTTCCTTGCGGAACCATTAAACCTTTATCTTCATTGTAATAGCATTGTATAGCTTCAGGAAACATTTCATTAGCTGTTAAAGCAAGGACGTCTTGTTTGACACCTTTGCAACGTGCATGGAATGCAACTTCATTTAAATCGTTAGTGAGTAAGTCTATGTAAGTCTTCTTTCCACAAAATATTGACTTGTATGCTAAACTTTGTTTTCCAGGTGTTATTTCTGCAAAGTCGCTATGAAATTGACCAAGGTTTTTACCAATGAGAACTCTTCCATAACGTTTCTCAAACTCTTCAGCTAAACGAGGGATATCTTCATTGTAGAGATGCATACTGTCGGTATCGCTATAAAAGATGTCCATTCCTAAGTCTCAGCAGTACAGAATACTTCACACATTATTCTCTTCGACATAGATAGAATATTAACACCAAGTGGACAGAAGTTAAAGTGTCTGCAAATGCTTTTCGTTAGCTTGAAAATAGTTTTATCTGAACCATCCAAACCTTCGAACTTCACTATATGGTTGTAGTTTCTGATGGCATATCTTATAGCATCTTTGTCATCTACTATGGTTATTTTTGACTCAATAGGAGATAGAATAGTTTTGCCATAAATACTGTTCAGAATGAGCTTTATATTTTCTTGCAAAGGATTTCCTTCTTTCTTATACTTTAACCTTAACTCAAACAACTTCTTTACTTCATCTCTTATTCTAATATCTCTGTTTCCATCGTAATAGTATCCTTGCAACACTTCACATTTGACACCTTGATATTTTATGAGGTCTTGTAATGTTATATGGTCAACATACATGAGACAGCAAGTGTTTGAACTTCTGGGAACGTTAAGTTCTGGATTTAGTTCAGGGTCACAAACTATTAAAGGAAAGTGTCTATGTATGCTAATCTCTGTTATCTTAATGAGAACAAAGAAGCCAGACATAAACTTTTCACCAATAGGTTCCTTTTGGTCGTCGTTGAATAAATGTCTCATGAGATACTCTGTGCTTAACATCTCATCCTTCAATACTTTTGGAATTCCTTCTAAAGTATAAAGTCTTGCTATAGCGGATGGATATAATGAAACAGCGTCGAAGTCAGCAATGAGTTTCTTTTCGCTCTTTTGTTTCATGTTATCTGACAGCATACATCTTCCACCTTGAATGCATCTCGAAATAAATTCTCTTGGTTTATTTGAGAGGTCATAAAGATTTCCATTCGGGAAGTATACTCTGTTCTCAAATAATTTGTTAGCAATTGAACAAATACTAACGTAGTCATAAACGTTTAAATCAAATTCTTTCAATATGTCATTGCGGAACTTAACAAAACCTTCTCTTAAAATTCTTACATCTTGTTTGCAATAAAATGTGCTATATTTTTCTAAGTCGAAGTGGTTTTCATCTATTCTGCAACCTTTGATGGAATCTATGTTTTTCATGAACGTATCCACATCCTGGATAAACTTACACGCTTCAGAAATGACACCAGTTCTGTTGTCATTTGCTAACAAAGTACTGCTGTAGTAGTTATATGGAAATACTTCTTTCGGTCCTGTTTGTAAGTTAAACATAGCAGGAAATAGTTTAAGCTTCTTATTTATAACACTGTAAGAGTCTTTTATAATAATTGCCCTTCCTTTATATAAGCCAGTTATTTGCATTGTTCGTGAACCTTTAATGATGGGAGTTCCTTTCACTTCTGTCATGTGTCTTAAGATGAAGTTTATATCATAACTGAGGTTATGGAAATATTAAACTCTTGTCAGGAAGTCGTTCCAAAAATTCTGTTGCACAGTTCTGACCCCAAATGCTTTCACTCACTGAACCATCTTCACTGTCATAACAGATGTTAAAAGCTTTATGAAAGCCATCCGTACTACACTCAAAGTCAGCAAAGAAAACGTGCTCAGGAATGAACTTGCACTTATTTTTATTTACTTCTTTTGACTCGGCTTTCTTCTTCAGTTGTACACAATACTTTGGAGTATATGTCAAATCTTTAAATGGTGCAAGGTTCTGTTTATATAAGTCAGTCGTATATGTGAAAAGTTCTCCATAAGAAATAGGTTTGAAATATTTGCACTCCCACAATGTTTTCATAACATCCCATAGCGGTGTTGTTCTATCATAACGAACAACATATTTGTTCTCTCTCTTTGTATAAATCTTCATCTGTTTCTCAATGTTCATTCCACCACACTCCTTCAAGATTTCTATATAGTTGCGAATGAAATATGTTGTCATTGGAAGTCTTTCATTTAGCATGTAGTGGTCTTCAACAAGAAGTAAGTCAATAGTTCGAACAGTTTTACATTCTTTTGGTATGTATCTCTTTATTTCATTATGTCTTGAGTCATTGAAGTAACCAATGGTAACATTAAATGCTATACCTGTTGCGTCAGAAATTTCTTGTACTTTACTTTGAGGAAAGTCTCTAACACGAATGACTTCTCTCATGTGGTCAATAGTTTCTTCATTTACTCCAGCCTGAATGCAAGCATAAACGAAACAATTGTCTTCTGTCATAAGTGTTGCAGTTCTTTTGTTCAGTTCATTGAAGATTTGGTGGCGTTCAAGATTTATAGGTAATGTGCAAAGATACTTCCAGAACTGACCGCTTCTCTTCTTATAAAACTTCTTTTCACCATTATCTTTCCAAAAGCTTTCTATAAGTGCTGGGTTTCCTGTTTGCTTAAGAGCTTCCAAAATGGCTTTCTGGTCATTTGTCAGTGTGCTTTCATCTCTATATGGTCGCTTCTGTGGCTTTCCTTTCTTAACATCTGACATCGTTAAGCCTTCATATTCAGTTAAATCATACATCTTTATTTCAGTAAGATTCTTTATGTTTGTCAAGAAGAAGTCATAGTGCATTTCAACAATACCTGCAGCATTTGCTTCTATCTCTGATATAAAGTTCTCCTTCAAGAGCTGATGTAGTAATGTTCCAATATTATTGAGGTTTAACGTAGAACATTCATACTTTCCACCAAGTTTATAACATACCATCCATCTTTGTTGGGAGTTTATTTTAATCTTCTCTAAGAGTCTCATGAAAACCTTACCGAAATGTTTGTGTAAGTAGTCTCTGTTTGGTTCATCTAAAGCTTCGATGTTAAAGTCAATGAGTCTATTGCCTGACTTCACATTTCTCTTCCTATTCTCTTCATCTTTCTTTAACCATCTCTCACCTTCTTTTGGTTTGTCGTCAATGGAACGAATGACATTATTAGCTTTGCGAACTTGTTCTATAGCACTTTTAAACATCTCTCTTCTCTGTTGTTTCAGTGTGTCGTCTCTTCTTCTTGTTTCACCAACGTTTGAGTTCGTAAGTTCAAACATTTCTTGACGAACATCATGCGAAAGAGCTTTACGAGTATGACCAACGTTCGCATTTGTTATGTCAAACATTTCTCTTCTTACTTCATGAGGTATTGAACGTCTATGATATAAGTCAATAGCAACGTCATTTAAAGGAAATGCTCTTGCATGGACTTCGTCCTCGCCGCGTTGCGGCTTTATGAACTCATGAATTCTATCATAAGTTATTTCACCATTGTAGTCATTGAGGATGTCAGCGAGTGCTTTTTTGTTTGTCGCGTAATGTTTTGCAACATCTATGTTAGCTTCTGTAAGAAGTTGTTTTATTTCCGAGTGTTCTAACTTAGACGACTTCCGATACATCTTTAGTAGGAAATAAAAAAATTTCTTAGAAAAAAATTAGCTTAGATTTTTTAAGGCTAGTTTTAAAATATTTCGAACTTTTTATTATAATGAAACACATGCAAGATTGCAAGTTCTTTTCATACAATGCTCTCGCTAATGCCATCAAGAATGAGTTCAATAATGCTTCAAATGTTAATGTTATCTTTAACAAGAAGTTTGTGAAAGAATCTAAGTTCGGTCAGTATGTCAGACCATTAGCTATCGTCATTGACCGCAAACGTTATACTTCACAAGAGTTAGCAGTAGTTTTGAAACAAAAGAGTTTCTTCGTGAATGTCAAAGATACTCATTATACTGTCATAAAGAACTCTAACATTGACTTCTTCAGTATTGCTATGAATCTTTCCGAACAGAAAGAATATAAGAAGGGTGAAACAAATGTGAAATATTATCCTTCATCTCTGAAGACAATAACGAACAAAGATGTTATACAGAAATTCTTACCAAAGGTTGAAGAAGCTTCTATTGACATTGACGAAGGAAGTGAAATGGTTGAAGAAATTGACCCTGACGTCATTTAAGCAAAAATATATTTTTGGTTAGTCTTCATATCGACATTTTACAACAATTAAATGGTAAAAACAAAATAAACTTGACGAAGTGAAGATTTGCAGCACTTCGTCGATTATGATCGACATGGAGCGTTTTGTTTTTATCATGGTTTTCTCCACTATGGTTCTAACGTGGCACCCGACGAGATTTTTTTCATTCTTCCTCTTTGAAGTTATCGAAATATTCTGTTATTTTTTCCTTCAGTAATGTTAAGTCTTCTTTGAATGTAAGTATTGTGCAACCTTTGATGTCATAGTGTGTTTGAGGAAGTGTGTCTTGAACTATCTGTTTAACATCTTCATTCGGTGTCATTGAAATCGGTAAGTTTTCACGATAGAACCAATTTCTGTCAGATTTGTAAATCTTAGCAAGGTCGTAAAAGCTTTTGTTGTTTCTTCTGACTAAATGCAACATAACCATGTCACTGTCTTCTTCTTTCTCCAACTCTTCAGTATATATCATATACTTATAACTCTTTTCCTTTCCTTTTGGTACTGAACGTGGTATTCTTTTCTGTATGCTTTTGTCTTTGGATTCAATGACTTCATCTTTTGCATGAAATTTCTTTTCCATATCTTCACGTTCTGCTTTATATAGTTCATCTAACATCATGAAAATATAACAAGCATAACGAGGTGAAGCCCACATTGCTACAGCATTTACTAAAAGTCTATGAACATAATAACCTTTCAAACCAGGTGCCAAATTCTTGCGATTTTCGAATGGAATCTCTTCCCTCGGTTTTCCGAGGGAAGCAATCATATGAGGAAATTCTTCTAAAAGTTCTTTTGTCTGTTGGTTTTCAAACCAATGATAGGCTTGCTTTGTAGAACGAAGAGCATTCATTATACTTTGCATCTGGTACATATCGTCTTTGACCGAACGAATGAGTCTCAATTGTTTGTTATACTGTATGTATTCATATTCTTCATTAATGGCTTCATGAACGATAGCAGTTGTTGTGTTCTCTGTTGTTGACATATCTGTCTTTATATTCCGGATAAAAAAAAATATTTTATAAAAAACTAACTTTATTTTTCTGTGTTAAAGAAATGTTAAAAATTCATGGTTACATATGTGAAAAGAAGTCACGAACAAATGAAGGTCATAAGATTCAGCACATAATTCTGAATTGAATGGTGTGTCATACATGTCAAACCGTCACGAATTGAAGGAGATACGAGACTATAAAGATTTTGGATATTTTCTGACACACACCCTGAGGGAAAAGTGACAAAACACAACGATAGAAAAAGTGACAAAATGAGAGAAAGTTGTTCCCCGACCAAAATGCAATCATGTTGAAAAGTGACATTTGTAAAGTTGGACGATAGAATTTCCTGAAAAAGTGCAAGACTTGTCTTGAATCAGGACAAGATTTGTCTTGAAAAAATACAAGACTTGTTCTGAAAAAATACAAGACTTGTCTTGAATCAGGACAATTGTTCTCAAATTTGAGAACTTTACAAGAAAAACTGACTAAAAAGTGCAAGTCTTGTTCTGAATCAGGACAAGATTTGTCTTGAAAAAATACAAGACTTGTTCTGAAAAAATACAAGACTTGTCCTGATTCAAGACAAAACTTTACAAAATGTAAACTTTACATAACCGTTTCTATCGTACATGATATTTAGTTGACATTGTAAACTATCTTCATGTAAAGTATGGCGGTTTGAAACCATCGGGAACCTTCACTTTTTTGACGAAGTGCGAATCTTCACTTTGTGTCATGATGCAAAAATAATGAGTTCATTTACTCACAATATTTTTGTACAAAATGTAAACTTTACATAACCGTTTCTATCGTACATGATATTTACTTGACATTGTAAACTATCTTCATGTAAAGTATGGCGGTTTGAAACCATCGGGAACCTTCACTTTTTTGACGAAGTGCGAATCTTCACTTCGTGTCATGATGCAAAAATAATGAGTTCATTTACTCACAATATTTTTGTACAAAACGACCCCAAACTTTTAACTTCTTTTCTGCAGCTTCTAATGCTATCTTAGCGAGTTCATATTCTCTAAATTCTCTCTTTAAATCTTCTTGTTCCCATTGGTCTAGTTCGTATGGAGAATCTCTATAACCATAACATATCTCACGTTCATGTTCTAATTGTTTTTCGCACATTTTTCCAACTTCTTGTTCGAACAAAGGTTTAGCATTCTCTACTGTATCTTCGAGTTCTTCTTCATCTAACTTCTCATGAACTTTCTTGTCTATGGAGTCCATAATATCTTTGACATAAAATGCATACTTTACAGAGCACCATTCAGCAACAAAATGAACGAAGTCAGGATGTATGTAAATACCTTTGAATTCATTTATAACACCCTTAGTAAGCTCATAAAATGCTTGTTTTGAGGTCGAGCCACTTTTGGCTCGACCGTATTCTTTCAACCAAAACTCAAGAATTTCCTGCATTTTAGCACTATTGAGAAATCTGTTTAAATGGTTTAACTTTCCTGCTTCTCTTGCCATCTTTGTTGCATTTATATAACCATCCTTGTCTCTACGTAAGACTTCAATACCGTTATAAGTGCCTTTTGTGAATGTTTCGCCATTAGATTTGTTAGTGAATGTTTTTGCTTCGACTGACATTTCTGTTCTTACCTACAAGATAAAAAATTAGAAAAAAAATAAAACTAACGTTATTTTTTCTGTCTTAAGGAAATTCATGAGGGTAGAAATGAGGTTAGAAAAGTGGTTAGAAAACGTGTTAGATCTAACATTCTAACATAAACTTTATTTTTGGTGTAAATAAATGGTACCATTAATGATATCATGACTGTTCTCGTTCATGTCTGATTTACATCTAATGAAAAAGTTTAGAAGAATTTTCTTATTCTTTCTGGCATATTTTTTGTCTTTCCAGTACTCCCGCTCTAATGGTCCCAGATGTGTTGGCTTCGACTCTCTCAAGTTCTTAGATGGTATAACATCTTCAACGCCTCCTTCATATCTTACTTTATAAGTGTCATCGTTTGTGTTATAGCCAAGTATTTCAATAACCACTCCTCGCTTTGCTTCGTCAATGGTTTCAGCAAGTTTGCCATTACTACTTTCGACTAATTTATGACGAGGATAAAACGCAATAGAGTCGTCGGCAGCTTTTATAAGATATCCATTACCTTGCGTAGAGTCTACGATATAATAATTTCGACTTAACCTTAAACGTTTCTTTGTCAACGGTTTGTCGTCAAGAACTACACGAACTTTTGTACCAGGAATGAGGGTAAATTGTGTTGAATTTCTGATATTTTGTGTTTGGCTTCGTTTCTTTTGTATATACTTTTCTTCTTGTTGTTGTGTCATTGAATTTGGTGTATGTCCTGTTGTAGAATGTGTTGAGGAATTATATACTTCGAGAAAGTGTTTCATTGTTTCTTCGGTAAAGTCTCGCTCTTGGTTTAAATCTCTGAGCGTTCTTATGAAGCGGTTAATGATGCCGAGTATGTTATGGTTATGGTCTTCAGTAGTGTAGTGAGTTATGTTATGCTTAATGAGAAATTCTGTGATTTCATTGCTGAGGTATGCACTGTCTTGGTCTGATGTTAAAGTACTTGGGCTATGTTCTGCTACAAACTTTTGTAAAACTCTTAACACTTCACGAGTTCCTTTATTTTTCATTATATACGCAAAAGCTTTGCGAGTGTTAACATTAATGAAGCTGAGGAATGGTTTATGTCCTCCTTTTCTGCTTTGAATGAGAGTGTCAAATTGGTATGCGTCAGGAGTGTTGGAGTAAATTGGTAAAAAGTAGTCGTCTTATATACGAAAAAAAGAGATCTGACATTGTGTCAGATCTCAGTAAAAGTGACATTTACATGTCAAAAAAATAGAATGAGTTTAAGTAATTAAAATTGAGGGTGAGAGTAGTATTGTATGAAATAATATCTCTCACCCTCCAATTCATCCTATGGCGCCGAAAAAATTTTGGTGAAATGCGACCACATTTCACCAAAATTTCTCGGCGCCATATAGAGAACTAGAGCCTGTGAGGTACTGATACTATCCATGTACCTCGCAGGCTCTAGTTCCAAGCCAAAATGGCTAAAAATTGCCCGCAATTGTTCACATTGCGGGCAATTTTTAGCCATTTTGGCTGGGAATTGGAGGGTGAGAGTAGTATTGTATGAAATAATATCTCTCACCCTCCAATTCATCCTATGGCGCCGAAAAAAATTTTGGTGAAATGCGACCACATTTCACCAAAATTTCTCGGCGCCATATAGAGAACTAGAGCCTGTGAGGTACTGATACTATCCATGTACCTCGCAGGCTCTAGTTCCAAGCCAAAATGGCTAAAAATTGCCCGCAATTGTTCACATTGCGGGCAATTTTTAGCCATTTTGGCTGGGAATTGGAGGGTGAGAGTAGTATTGTATGAAATAATATCTCTCACCCTCCAATTCATCCTATGGCGCCGAAAAAATTTTGGTGAAATGCGACCACATTTCACCAAAATTTCTCGGCGCCATATAGAGAACTAGAGCCTGTGAGGTACTGATACTATCCATGTACCTCGCAGGCTCTAGTTCCAAGCCAAAATGGCTAAAAATTGCCCGCAATTGTTCACATTGCGGGCAATTTTTAGCCATTTTGGCTGGGAATTGGAGGGTGAGAGTAGTATTGTATGAAATAATATCTCTCACCCTCCAATTCATCCTATGGCGCCGAAAAAATTTTGGTGAAATGCGACCACATTTCACCAAAATTTCTCGGCGCCATATAGAGAACTAGAGCCTGTGAGGTACTGATACTATCCATGTACCTCGCAGGCTCTAGTTCCAAGCCAAAATGGCTAAAAATTGCCCGCAATTGTTCACATTGCGGGCAATTTTTAGCCATTTTGGCTGGGAATTGGAGGGTGAGAGTAGTATTGTATGAAATAATATCTCTCACCCTCCAATTCATCCTATGGCGCCGAAAAAATTTTGGTGAAATGCGACCACATTTCACCAAAATTTCTCGGCGCCATATAGAGAACTAGAGCCTGTGAGGTACTGATACTATCCATGTTCCTCGCAAGCTCTAGTTCAAGCCAAAATGGCTAAAAATTGCCCGCAATTGTTCACATTGCGGCAATTTTTAGCCATTTTGCTGGGAATTGGAGGGTGAGAGTAGTATTGTATGAAATAATATCTCTCACCCTCAATTCATCCTATGGCGCCGAAAAAATTTTGGTGAAATGCGACCACATTTCACCAAAATTTCTCGGCGCCATATAGAGAACTAGAGCCTGTGAGGTACTGATACTATCCATGTACCTCGCGGCTCTAGTTCCAAGCCAAAATGGCTAAAATTGCCCGCAATTGTTCACATTCCCATCTTTTGTTGGTAAGACGAAGAATATGAAATAAATTATGAAGAAGATAATGATGAATAAAATATCACTTTTTATATTTTTGACACGTAAGTTGTCACTTTTCTGTCAAACGTTTTTATGTTTTCGTATATAACGTCGTAAGGGTTTATTTTTGTTTGATGTACAACATTTTTGTCAAAGAACTTTTTTCACTTCAGCTCTGTTAGTAAATCCCCAACTTTTTGCTGCTCATTGAACTTCTTAAATGACCTCCATGGATGTTGTTCGAATACTTCTTTCAAGCTCATTTATGTAAAGTTAAAGATTTTATTCTAGGCTCAGCGCGTTCATTGAACGCGGTACCATGCGATACAGTCACAAATGGTGGCATATAATCTGCACCGAGCCTGTTGGATTTGTTGTGAAAGTGTGTGAATGATTACCTGTGGTTCCACAGAAAATACCTGTGCTTGAAATCTACTGGGTCACTTGAAATATCATATCTATTCATTCCCTGTCTATCCGAACCTGCTGCAAGATTTGTAAACCTCTTTTTGTTATTGAATGTGAATGATTACCTGTTGTGTTGTAGTTCCTGTATGAGTGTGCGGTGGAAGGTTTGCTTCTTTAATTTTCTTCGAACCTCCTGTTTGCTTTGAATATCTAGCA